CAAGATTGAGGTTCTTTACATTTTCCGCCACTTTACTGTACAATATTACAGTAAAGTAATATTATACTACATTTCAGAGACAAATACTGTACTGTACTCATTACATTATTATAATTATTACATTACCTGATAACTTTAATCACTTTGCAGATACAGATAATTAATAAATATTATAATAAACAAAGAAATGTTGATATATCGTTATGGATTAAGATACATAGCAGTATTAAACTTGCTCAGCCTTTACCAGCTGCAACATTAAAGTGATGAACACATAAATGTAATATAATATACATTGGTACTTTGAGTATATATTAATGCTAATACTTTTACTTGTGTGACATTTTGAATGCAGGACTTTTACTTGTAACAGAGTATTTTCACAGTGTGGTATTGCTACTTTTACTAAAAAGAGAAAGATCTGAGTACTTCTTCCACCACTGATATAGACCTTAACCTTCAACTGTAGACAAACTTAAAGTATGCTGGTCGAATGGTCCAATAAGGTATAAAAACCCTCCTCCACACCTGGAATTGAAACCAACCGAACAATTCCAGTAACAGACTGTTTGGATACAGTCTGAAAGTGTGTGCCGTTATAGCCATATTTAAATGATCAACCCCTCTCTCCATGAAGGCCATCTTTTCAACCCGCTTTATTTCAAGCATAGCCCCATAAATGTGACACTGAGGTTTCACTTCACAGGATATAAAGTTGTATAAAATGGAAATACCACAATCCAACTCATTATTTTATCTGGAAATGTTTTAATGAATTTCCAGTAAATATACTTTTTCATGATATGTATTGATCTTGCCGTATAAAATAATAGACTGAAGACTTGACTTGTACTCTGATTGCTGTGAGAATTCAAATCTTGAGATCTGACTTCCAAAATACTTGAATGCTAAATCATAATCATTCCAAAGTGACTTTACAGAGGAACTAAAAGTGGAAAGTGGAAAAGTTTGATTACCAGTATTAGAGGTAAAAGGTCAGAGGTCATGAAGCCCTGATTGCGCAACAACTCCTCCTCTGACCATGTAGGACAGCCTCCGCTCTCTCTGTCCTCGACTCACTCCAGTGAAAGGATGATCTGAGTGTCTGATGCTTTGCCATAAGAGCCGATGAGAGTGTGTGCAGAATTTGAATGGAGTGTGGTTTTGTGTGTTGCTAAGAGGACTCTGCAGAGCTGTGAGGAATCTGCCATTTGGAGGCTGCCAGGCTCGGTCTGCATCACTTTCTGCAACCTGACTTTTTGTTCCACTTAACGTGACACTAATCTGATCATTTCAGCGTCATTTTGTAACCACCAGGACATAATTTAATCTATTTTAGTTTCCTGAGTTCTTCCTCTGTGGTCGGTTGACTTTTAGTTCCTGTGCCTTTCACTGTTTTTGTGTATTTTTAAAGGGATTCTTTCAATTTTCCAACTAATTTTCAATGTCAACTGCGACCACATTCCTCTAGGTTGGTCCTAAAATTTGAAAGGCCTGCCGTGCACTTTAGACCTGAGAAGATTAGGTTAGATTGACCAAAAAATAACTGGAAAATTGTTAAATTATTAAAGTTTTAAAATATTTTTTTAAGCAACAATGACCCAAAAATCACTGTTTCCAGATTCTCAAATGTAAATGTTTGCTGGTTTTCTCCTTATAACATTTACAGAGACCCAACAGTACCACCATGAGCAAGCACTTAGCGACAAGGGCAAGGAAAAACTGCCTGTTAAAAGGCAGAAACCTCGGACAGATCCTTCGGCTCTAGGTGGGTGGTCGTCTGTCTCGACCAGTTGGGGTGAGCCTTCAAAACAGTCACAGTTTGGTTAGCTTTAGGCAACAAAACGACTTGGGTTTAGGGAAAGATTATGGTTTGGGTTATCAAGTTATCTCATGTGTCTGCAAGACAGCAGATGGACCATTCTTGATTTTTCACAATTTTTTCAACATTTAGTAGACTGAACTGTATTCAATTCAAATCAACCTTATTGCATCATACTTACTACAAATAGATAAAAACGGATAAATAGAAGACCCTTGCAATAAAAAAGTGCATCATGAATAAAAAAATAAGTTTTTACGTCTTTTAAGAAGCAGGACGGAGATAACTATAATCTAACACAACCTTGGGGGAGACTAACTGCTGTGTCAGAGCGAGCCAACATATCTCTTATTTTCAAATGATTAACTGACATGATAATTGGCAGATTAATCAACAGTGAATAAGTCATAAATTACAGCCCTAGTGTGCATAGAACCATATGATGCATAAATAAAAGCAAAAAGGTGGAGGATTTAGTTAGAAAATTAAAAATGCTCAAATGTGCACTACTACGGGCCCTTAAGTGCATTGCTCGCATATGTGCAGCTATTCTGCAAATCGCTCCAAGCTTTGCACTCCTCGCAGCAGCATACTCGTCTTCAGCCTTTGTCCTGTTCTTCGTGCAGTTGAGTGCCTGTATTTGTGCACATTCCGCCTTCGACAGCGACTCTCATCTTGTTCTTTGTATTATCACTGATCCTGACAGGCCTTTTTCCACTGTTTTCGTGGATATCGACGCACAAATAAAATACTAAATAACAGTTTCTCAGGCACTCACGAGGAGGCTTTAGCTGAATTCAACAGGATGTCAAGCTTGATGCATTTGAATCTTGAATCTATCAAGCATGCAATGTTTACATGTGCTATTAATAACAAAAAGCACAAAAAGCTGTTGACATGACCCACTGATAAGTACACTCCCTGATTTTGTTTTAGCATCAGGCACTACCCCCATACCCAAAAATTTCTCTGATGATGTTTTGTAAGTCAGCAGAGTTCAAAATTAACTTTCAAAACACAAATGTGGGAGGAAACATGAGGATGTGGGGCGCCATAGAAAAGCTACAGTAACTTTTTAAGTTAACATACAAGCATAAAAAGATCCATCACACACCTAATGTTACTCTCTCTCTTTAACTTGTTGATTAGGCCTCTTCATGAACGGCTAGCAGGCACTGATCTGCTCGCAACTTGTCATAAATCCATACTTTACTACAATTTAAAAATCCGTCAAGTGCTTTCAAGCTAAAATTTGACCATCTCTGGACTGGAACCTTTAAAGACACCTTGAACTTACTCATTTTTCACTGCTCTATTTCTCCTATCCGAACCATTAACTTAAACGAATAATCAAAAGTAAAACCATATGGATGTTCTGGTTGTACCTCACCTCACCTCACACAGTATAAATAGTGGTTAATTAAGTAAATACTGAGTTTGCAGAGTGAAGTTCAGCAGTTGCATTGGTCCAACTGGTTCTAGTTCAAAACCACAGCAGCATCAGACAGAGTGCTGCCAGTTTCTCACCGCACAGGAATTATATAGCAAGCAGGTTTTGTTTGACGAGAGTTCCTGTAACTCCACCCAGACACGGTTGTTTGCAGAGTTATGCCATGCACACGAAAAAATTAAAACAGCGCTGGAAAACAAAGCGGAAAATTGACATGAATTATTCTGTAAAGCAGGAAGATACAAAACAAGCTTAAATAACCCCCTGCATTGTGCAATAATAAATTAAGGCTAAGTAATAGTGTCAGTATCTGACAGATCAGGGTGATGCCATGAGAACGTCTTGTTTTAACTACTTCCTGTGTTTAGCAAAAGGCGTGAGCTGAATGTACACAACATCCTGTGTGAGGCTGTTGACACAGACCATGTGACAAATGAGTGTGAAGCAAAACACCAACACAGACAAGGACACAGTGATCTACACTGGATGTATAAATCAGTATATTTACTGCAGGGAACTGAGCCTTCTTAGAGATAATGTATACTGTTATTTATCAAGTAATATCAAAATGTGCATTTGAATATACAGTACGTGGGTGTGGACACATGGGGACACAGCAAAAGCAACATTCAGATATCAAAATGCAATGCAGCAGCCTTCCTAAAAGCACTAATCTGGCTCCAAGTAGTGTTTTTTAAAAATTACTAATTAATCCGTCCATTATTTTTTCAATTCATTTTATTAACAGAAAATTCCAAAGTCCCAATCAGTGTCCACTGGTTGTGCTATAGAGCAATGTTTTGATAAGTGGGTTGCCATTTTCTTTGTCTAGCACACACAATGTTTGGAAAGAAACACTGACTGTTGACAAGAAAAGAGGGAACCTATAAGATAAACTCAGGCTCCATTGCTTACTGCAGGTTAGAAGTCCCCCTCTGAGAAATGTTTGTTTGGCTAAAACTCAGCTTTCTCCCCCCATCCACCTCTTCCTCACTACCTGACTCCCAGGTCACAATCGCAGCAGGATAATCCCAGATTAGCCTCCCAGCAGGACGTGGGTTCAATCCCTTTTGATGTCTAGCCGAGCCGAGCCGAGCCGGGCCACAAACCTGCGCTGAGCCATAGCCCACGCTGGCTGCCACCGCCTGCAGAGCTCCAAATCAAATAACAGGACAGGGCCTCCACCTCCGAACACACCTAGTGTGACTATTTCTTTATGTAACGCTCACTTACAGGCAGCAGCAGTGTAAGTGGGATTACAGTGGATTTCCAAACTGAGGCCCCAGCACCCTTTGTGAACTAAACTGTGGCCGAGTCGTGACCCTCTAAAAGGGGAAAGGGGAGCTACTGAGAGGCTTTGGTAAATTTTCTCACACTCAGCCTGCACATGCCTGCAGACAGTAGCCTGTTTAAAATATGTAAGAGTGAGAAACTGCTCATGGCACGCACACCCATCTGCCCCCAAATCAAAAACTGGTTGGACCACTTGAGAGAGAGATGGAGGGAAAGTGGTGAAACTGAGAAAGAAGGCGCAAAATGTCAGCTCAGAGGAAAGAATACTTGCTAAAAGCCTAAAGTAATGAATAGAAATCAGTGAATTGATGCTGTTTGTGCAAGGGTGCATACACACATGGTTGTGATATAAATGCAGAATCCAGCTCAACTGCAAAGGAAAAACCACGTGGATCACCGTATCATACTGAGGCTCAGATAAAGGCTGCAGGCAGAGCGGGAGACATGTTTTTATTCCTAACATTATTCACCGTCTCTGCTCTGATTTTCTTTCAAAAGGTCTAAGATTTAAACCAGCAATATTTCAGAAATTCTAACATCACAGTCCAAAATTGTTATTCAAGGTTTTATACACATGGTAATGATATCGACAGACAACCCAAGAGAACTGCACAGAAACAGATGTACCAACTTGGGTTGTTTCTCACTCACATTCCCTCTCCAGATGTCTCAAACTGAGTTTAGAATCTGAACATATTTAAAGTCCCCCTCCAGTAAAATATCTCGTATATATATATATATATATATATAGTTCTAGTTCCTACAGTGAGCTGTGTGAATGCTGTATGTGCAGAGTTTGACTCTAGAAGGATGTTTTCACATTCATCTGCTGAAAGTGGAAAGTTTCTCTGTGCTCATCGAAAATCTGCTTTTAAGGGGCGGGGCCTACCAGCATGATTTGTGACATCACAAAAAGTTGATCATGGTCCAGAATGCAACTTATAGAGTGTGATGTAGAAACTTTCAGCTTGACTTTCTAAAAATGTAGTAATTTTTATCATGCTTACAGCTTATATTGTTATTTTTATTTGCTGTTATTTAGATCCTGTTACTGAAGTCTGCATTACTTCAAAAAATCAAGGAAGACAACACAACAAAAGACTCTAGTATCTTCTTTTGTCAGCAAACAGAAGCTTCATCGTGATTATTAGCTTAAAAGAATTTGAGAAACAACAAGAGGATCTTTAGACAGGTTGAAAGCCAGCGTTAATAAGGCACCAAGAGCAGTTAAATGTCCACAATGATCATCATCACTGTATTTATAGGTTGATGCTGAACTAGCTCCACAGATGGCACAAACCAGCACTGACTTGGTTTAGGTATTGAGAGAAGAAGCTCAGGCTGACAGGAAGTTTTTTCGGCTCCACTCTGGTTCTCGTGGAGGGACGTAGTCCTTGGAAAGCTCTTTTGGTGTCGCCAGCCTTTCAACACGAGCACTTGCTGTGGCTCTCCTCGCTGCTCTTGGAACCTGGTTTTAGAGAGTCAGACATTTAGTATTTAGTTTTAGGACTGACAGCAATTCGGAAAGAAATGTTAACTAATAACTAACTATTAGTTCCAAACTCGTGTTTTAGAAGATGTTAATCATGTTGCTGCTGTTCAAGCAAAGGATCTTTTGCCATTATACATTTTTCCGCCTGTCATTACGTGTTACATTTATTAAAATAAGAGCCAGACCACAGATCATATGGGACAGATGGCCAATAACAATCTGGCAATTGCGTGCAAGCAGAGCATCCACTGAATAGTCATTTGACAATTGTTGGAAAATTCCACAATTAATTGAAAGAGCTATTCATCATGTGAAAGCTACTCTACAGTACATGACAGAGAGCTGGTTCAAACAGCTGGAAAATATTTTAATTGGCTGTGTGATGTCAAGTATACAGCCAAGGAAAACTGTTCTGGCTTTGATAGGATGTTTATTTCACCTAAGACTCTTTCACTGAGAGAGTTCAAACACACTGCACCAATAAATGACGACGTGATACATCAGTAGGTGATCTTACCATCCAGATTGATTCCTCCGGGCGTCCAAGCTGGCAGCAGATGTTGCTCTGCTTCAGTCTGGGCAGGGACAGCTGGACCAGTCGCTGAGAGATCTGGACCGTCTTAGAAGCAAAAGAAACAATGGATGCGACACTCTGTGGAAGACAAACAGACGGAGGAAATTCAGACTTCATGTGGTTATGATCTAGCCAGGTAACTTGGTCTTCAACCATCAGCTGAAGAAAAGCTGGCTGAGGAAGGTCTGGATTACTTATTATTAGTTCTGCTGCCCAACACAGTTTTCAGAAAACTATTCTAACAGTGAAAGTGATCAAATCTCTACTGCAGTACATACAATTTTATATCATAATAATAGTTGCTGCGATAAAATAAATTTTCTGGAAGTAAAATTGTGTACATTATATAATTTAAATACTCTGATAATCAATGTCTGAACTTCATTACATTAATGTAAAAATCCCATAAATCCAATATTGCAACAACACAGTCCTAATTGATTTGCAGAATTACTTCCAATGGTCTAATACATCAGATATATATTAAAGGAATAAGTCCTTTGGTATTACAAAAACTCTGATGTCAGTCAGAGTTGGGGATGCGGGATGAGAGAAAGGGTGCTGCAGCTCAATGTCAGCCGACATTAGCGCTGCCTGTTGCTGTTCTCGGTGTACAGGTGCTTTAGGTTCTCACCTCTCTGTTGCTCTGGAAGTCTGGATGGTTCACTTTGGGGTCTGAGAGCTGCAGCAGTCGCAGCGTGATGACAGCAGATTTCATTTTGGGATCAACGTGCCAAATAGGACAGTTATTCTCACAGTGAGGTGTGTGAGGAGGCCTGTGGGACCAGCAGAAAGAGCTTTAAACATACCGCTAGGATTAAACATCTGAAAGGTCAAGTGGTTTATTATTAAGCTGAATTTTTTTTACAAAATGACTTATTCTAATGTCCTTTCTCAAAATATTTCAACTTTATCCTCAAAAGGTTCTTCTCCACCAATATTACTCTGTGGTACAGCTACAGGAACCACTTCTAGAAAGTGATGGAAGTACATTTATATTCTGAACAAAAGGCCCACAAACTTATCTTGGAGTTTTTTCAACTGTATCACACAGAGGGCCAGAATAAGAAGGTCACTGAATACAGACAAAAGCTGAGGGAATAGGTAAGTGAGTGGACCTTATATTTAGAATATTTCCCACAGACCCTGTGACATAATAGTTCAGATGAATGCTATGAAACTGCAACGTTCCTGGTCTGACCCCTCTCTCTCCCACTATCTAATAAAGATAAAATGCCCCAAACAAGATGACACCAAACTAAATGCCTTTTCAAGATGTATTTTCATTAAAAATATCTCAAATATCCGTTGAACCTCTGTAGTATAAGAATATTCACTGGTACTTCAGTATTTGAGTTTATTATCTGACTAACCATATATTGTTACCTACAACATGGGACTAATTTGTGAGGACAGGTCTTATAAATACTTAAAATGTATTAGCCTCCTCTACAATAGTAACAGTAACTTTCATATTGTTAAGTTTATTCCTAGAGGGCACATGTGTCTAACTTTAGAGGGATATTTGATTTTTATCTGCCACGTGTTGCTCTTGCGGTGGTTTTGTCTGGTTTTTTATTTATTTAGCGTCTTTGTGTTGTTTTTCTGGAGCAACAAGATGAGAGGATTACGTTTCGACTGCTGGTGATTATTATTTTTTGTGCAGGGCACTAAAACAGCAATCAATGTGATGTCTACTGTTTAAATCACAAAGGCAAATATTCATTTGGTGTACTGGATTCAGTAAACCCTGTTTAAATTTCTCTCCGTGCCCAACAACATGTTCTGCTGCTGTGTTCAGGATTTATAAAAAGACTTCCGCGGCTGTCTGCGAGCGTCCCAGGGGTCCTGAACTTTGGACAATAAGCTCTATTGTCTCCGCTCCTCGCTCTCCCACAGTCTGACACTGAAATAACAGATGTCCAAACGTTGGCTTCCTCACGCAGCGTGGAGACGTTAGTGTTGGACCGCAGCCTCTGCTTAGTTCTTTCATATTTAACTATATGATATGTTATATTCTGCTGCGAAAAAAATTCTAGACTTTAGTTCGTACGTGGACCCCCCTGAGGGAGAATAACTCATGAATCTGCCAAAAAACAGTGACATAGGAGGTCCATGAGAATGCTGGATGTGGACATAATCTCTGAAACAGATACCTCAAAGGGTTGATCACGGTGCCGGTACATACCGTACACATTTCTTAATATTGGTGAATATGCTTCCACAAGGTTTGCCGTCAGTGGAGAAATAATATTATTATTTTGATAATAATCCAAATACAATCATAAAACCTTTAAACTCATTCAACCACTACTGAATAACACTGTCCTCTACTTATTATGCTATGTTTAGGACAGCAACTAATAATTATTGTCTTATTTTTGCATTAATTGATTAATTATTTAGGCTACAAAGTATCAAACAATTTCCATGGTAATGTCTTCAGATTTATCCATTAAAGCTGCAGTAGGTAAGTTTAATAAAGAAACACTTTTTGTCATATTTGCTGAAATTTTCACTGTGTTCTGACAATAGTACACCAAACAGATAATCTGTGAAAAAATCTGGTTCCTCTGGTTCGTTCTAGTGCTCCTTATGGTATTTACAAGAATCCACCGGGCCTGAACAAAAACAACCAATCAGAGACAAGCAACTTGTAAAGACACTGTGGGTTAGAGGCTTGAAGATAGTTGATTGTTGAGTCTCATTCTCAGGGTCCCAAAGAGTCTGGATTTGCCCTGGGAATGAGACTCAACAATCAACTATCTTTCAGACCAAGTATATTTAATATATTCAATTTATAATTGTTTAATTAACAGAGAACAGCAGAAAAATCCTCACAACTGAGAAGATGGAACCAATAAATGTTAGGCATTTTTGCTTGATAAAAAAACCAGTGTTTCACAACCTTTTAGGCTCCTGACAGCTCATCAAAGGTTATAGCTTCACTGAGAGCATTAGTTGTGAGCAGTCCAACATATCCTAACCATATTTTGAAATACTGTACAGTACACACACTGGAATGAAGTTAAAACAAAAGTTAAAGGGCGCCCCTGTGGCTTAGGGGTTAAGACGGTGACCATGAATCAACTGTTGCTGCGTCAAGTCTGACCCGGGGCTTGTTTCCTGTCAGCTCTCTACTGTCTGTTTGTAATAAAGATATAAAAATGCTTGAAAAAATACTGTTAACCCTTTATTTAGATATTCCACCTACATATTTGAATAATTGTAACAATTCAACAGGTTATTTGTTGAGATTCAACAACCGGTTTCTGATATTACACCACTGTGGTTAAGGTGTGGTTAGGTTTAGGCATAAAAACATCCTGGTTAGGGTATGTTTGTAAATTGTCACATAATATCTGTGAAACAACCACAGACAAAAGGAAACAGTTGAGATGTTACAACTAGCTGTAGGCGGACTGTCAAAATAAAGTGTTTTGCTCTGAGAATTGAATGCTGAAAGTATCACAACAAGCTCTACCTGTTTCAGTGATGATAACTCTAAAACTCGATGCTTACTGAGTTCCAAAGATGCCACGTAGATATATGGGCTTCTAAATAACCTTAAACATCAGAACACTCATTTGACCTGGGTTTGTTTGGCTCAGCTCCACTTTACTGCTTATGTTTGATGTCTGATGAGGCTTTTACCCTGCTTCCTGGGAGCTGCGGCTCCTGGTTTTGGGTGTTGACAAGCGGACAATGTGCTCGTACTGGGACGTCCTGGAGGAAGGACGCTGGGTCTTCCTGAAGGAGCTCGTCTCCTCCTCCTTCCTGCAGGAAAATGGAAGCTATTACCACATCCATTATATGTTGTGCTGTGTGTCTGGGACAAAAGAATGTCTTGAGCCAGGGGGAAGGAGGATGAGGAGGAGGGGGGACAGAACAATGGAGAAGTGTCAGAGCGTGGCTGATGACGGAGGTACGAGTGGAAAATCATCTGCACCCACAAAAACTTTTAAATTTGGTGAACACTTAGTCGAGACAGTGGGACGACACATAGCCAAGGTCTGATGCTCCCTGCTGACAATCTGACTGATTGTTTTGCTCTTAAAGCAAATAGTCAAACAGATCATTGTTTAAGGAATGTAACGTCTCAGTCTGGTGATATTTGACGCCATCCGACTGAAGATAGCGACATAAAAATGAATATATTGAATATTTGAGGTCTATTTTTTAAGCTTTGTATCTTCAGTAGTATGAACTGGGCTGGGCTGATTGCCACAGACAGACTGTGAAATGATGTATATCACATAAAAGCATCAAAATCTCACATTTGAAAAGCTGGAACAAGCAAATCAATGACTTTAAAAGTTAATCAACTAACACAATTGATTATTTTCCTTTCCACTAATGTATTGATTAATGGTCTAATTGTTTCAGCACTACAAGTCGACCGACAGAAAATGAATCTGAAAATATTTCAATAATTGCTTAATTGTAAAAGACAGTTTTTCAAGCAAAATTTCCAAACATTCACTGGTTCCAGTTTCTTAATTGTGAGAATTTTCTGCTTTTTTCTGATCGCTGAAAATGGAGTATCTGTGGGTTCTGCACCATTGCTCGGACACAACACACAATCTATAGAATGTGGCTTTAAGAAACGAGGGAACTTAAATTAACTTAAATTACACTATTTTATAAAACAGTAAAAGAACAAATTAATCAGGAAAATAATATCAATAATGAAAATGATGAAGAGTTGCAGCCTTATACTGAATGAAAGCACCAGCTGCCATACCCTATATTAGCCACACTATTAATACTGAGGTATTATACCAGTGATATTGTGGTAAAAAACTAGTGGAGCTGGACCAGGACCAGACTGTCTGCCAGATAATCAGATTAGAAATTAACAGAATGGACTAGACTCCTTGACTACAGAGTGATGCGATTAGATGTGGAACAGAAATGTAATTATCAGGCTTCAGAATACATTCATCACAATCTAAATTCAGCATTCAAACAATCAGAGCAAAACAATATTATACATATTCTTAATGTGCATCTCCATCACTGAGGCCGATATATTGGTGATATATTGGCAACGATCCGAGACATTAGAGATACATATGGAACAACTACCAAAGCGATTTATTGCAATGCAGTGCGATTCAACACGATTTGATTCAACATGATAAGATGTGATGCAAAAGAATATGATGGTGGGCACAGATAGTTTGTTTACCCTTTCCTTGGTTCATAAGCAGCTTGTGCAACAATTTAGAGGAGGAATCAATCACATTTATGAATAATAAAGGCTTAGGGCCACTGTAATTATAAATAATTAAAAATTATATATAAATCAGATTTTACCAATGCAAAGTGAATCAGTGAATCCCAAGTTCATCCCAAATTGCATCGGGCACACGTTTTTAAATTGGTACAATTACATCTTGAACTTTAATGACAGTACACCAGTGCAAACTGGTGAACCTTACCATCCCTGATACATACTGTATTACATTATTACAAATTATTACATTATATTATTACAACTGTATTTTTTACATTATTTGTCTCTCTGATATTTTATATCATTCGTTTTCAGTCTTGTGAAACTGTATTTATTGTTGTTCATTTCTGTTTTTATATGCTGTTTCAGTTTGTTGTTTTGTTTCAGAATGAAAGATGCTATATAAATAAAGTTGAGTTCAGTTGAGTCCATCCAGCATCCTAAATCAACAGAATCTTCTCACCTCTCTTCCACACAGTCCCTGATGAACCTTGAGCTTCGAACCAAACCAGCAGGTGATTGCTGTCATCTTCAATTACAGTAAATTAGTATTATTTGTTCTGGAAGCTGCACTTCCTGTGCGGGCTTCTTATTGAATTACACTGCATGTTACTGAGCTTTTAATCTGACAGCTGAGGCGGAGGAACAACAAACAGTATCAAAATAAAAGCCTCTGAAGCTGTAACTACCATCACAGGCTCTCTGCACTAATTGAGCCTGACAGCTCTCAGGGGTGGTCACCTCTGACTGGGATGCAGCTGGCATCAGTCCTGAACATCACTTTGCAGTTTGCATTTCCTGAATCCGCTCTGTGCCAAAGAGCATTAAGTCTTTACCCTTCAGCTTTGCAAACATTTTCTCAAATATGTCGATGCAGCACAACATAAAAAGCTTGTGTACTGTACAGTCCCCCGGGGGAAGGAACACAAACAGCTCTCCCCGCCTCATGCCTTTTTGATAGAGTCATCAATAATGTTCAGGGTGGCGAAAGGCTACAGTTACCTCTGGTGGTCCTCTCTTGCTGAGAAGTCTCTTTTGTGCCTGGCTAGGTATTGGATTCTTGCACTTGGAACGGCTCCGAGCACTGAAGTGGAGACGGGCCATATTGGCTCCTGGTTGCCCCAGCTCAGCTTCTCACTGATCAATGCAAGGGGAAAAGTTTCCAATAAGGAGCTGTGATGATAAAAATGTTGGTGCAGGAGCAGAATGAATATTTTTCAAGTGGGCTATTACCAAATGAAAGAATCATACTTCCAATCATCTTCCCATTGTTTTAACCTTTACACCACACGTTCAAAGTGTGCCAGACATCTGTCTTTAATTATGTAGTTTAGAGAAATTGCACTCAAGGAAGGAAACAATGACCACAGAGGCTCCTGAATTCCTGGAGTCAATTTCACACTAGATCAATGACCAAACGTGCAATTTCATATGATGTAACAGCTGGAACCGAACTTATCCTGCAATGCTGGACTGTACAAACAGAACATGTAATGAACAGAGGCCACATTGATACCTCTTGTGGTATCAAAAAAGTTATGTTTGTTTTATATATGTAATAAAGAATCAGATTTTAATCAAGAGTAAAAACTCAGTATGACTCAGCTACTCACCAAGGAGTTGTGGCCCAAACTGTTTTTGAGGTTTTGTGCTGTGCAAGATCCAAGATTCTGCCAAAAAAACATTCATAAAAAACCCACAAATCAGCGTTAAATACGAGTGTAATTCAGAGACTTTGGGCCCAGGGGGAACATGCAATCGCTCGGTGGGTTTCCCGTCTCTGGTGAGGGCTTTCTTCTTTCTGGCACATCCAAAAACTGGTCTTACTCTTCAGTTAAAAAGTTGGCTTCAAATTCTAAACCTCATTTTGGCCACTAATCAATGTCAAAGACACAACTGTCAAAGTTCATCTGTGAGTCAGACATTTTCATGAAAGAGGTTTTTTCATTTCGCAAGACTGATGAAATTGTAGATTTTTGGCTTATGCTTTTTCTTTATTCCACTGTGACCCCTCAAGGAGGGATATGGACATGGACATCACTAACATCACACTTCACTTTAACAACCCCATTTATCATTTATATATAAACATATAATAAATAGTTTATAACACATTACTACATAAACAATGTTACAAGTAGGTATAAGAGCATTTCAATTCTATAAGGCAGTATTTTCAATATTATAACTTTCCTAATGAAGATATATTTAATATAATTCAACTGTGCTTCAACACTACTGTGTTGTTCATCATGTTTATATACCATATAAACTATATCAAATACTTAAAGGACCAGTGTAGAATTTAGTGCCATCTAGTGGTGAAGTTGCAGAATGCAACCAACTAAGTAACGTTCACCTTTTAAGTGTGTAGGAGACTCTACGATGGCTGTGAAACTCGCGAAATGCGCTTAAGGCCCTATCTAGAGCCAGGGTTTGGTTTGTCCATTCTGGGCTACTGTAGAAACATGGTGGTTCAACATTGTGGACTTGTAGAAAAGGACCCGCTCCCTCCATAGATAAAAACAACTGCAATGGTTCTTATATTCAGGTGATTACACACTAATGAAAACATATGTATGAATATTATATTCCATTTCTGCCAATAGATCCTCCTCAATGTTACACACTGGACGTTTAAAACAACCATATAGCAGCTTGCAACTACATTATTGTGTGTTATAACCCATTTATTACATTTATTATATGCTGCTATTAAAGAGAGGGCTTCAAATAATGTGTTACCAGAAAAGGTAAGAAACAGACTGTATGTAGACAGTGAAACTTGTTGCTCAGTAATGGGCAAGTACAATACAGTAGGGAAGGAAATAAGAAAAACATCAAGGGGAAATTCACATTTCAGCAGAGGTAAGAAGAGAAAAGTAATAAAAACAGATAAACAACTGTCGGAATGAATTAAATAACAAATAAAATAAAAAATTAAGTAAATTAGAGATGACATTGAAAAGCATACACTAAAGTGTATTCCCGACATTTTTGTTTGCTGAATGTAATCAGATGAGCTCCACCACCCATCAAATCCCAAATCTATTCTTACTAATAGATTATAACCTCACTGATTATAACCTCACATTTAAAACTGTTTATTATATCAAAGTTTAAATGTTAAATTTTAAAATATTCATCACTTTTCAGCTAACTATTTAACTGTTCATCCAGTACTCTTAGCTAATGCTTACAATTTAAACTTTTTATGTCACTTTTTTGCTAACTATTCATATCTGTTAGGTAACCATTTCAACTGTTTATTCAGTATTTCTAGCTATTCTGACTGTATATTTATCACTTTTAGCTAGTGTAAACTATTTAAACTGTTTATCCTTTACCTTTAGTCAACATTAACTATAAGTGTAAAGTATTATACACACATACAGTAAATATAATAATATAAGTAAATATTCAATAGTGACTTACAAGTAGCCATTATGATCTTATAACAATAACTTATTGATGCTATAGCCACAGCATTTAAATCTCTAACTAATTCATTCAAATGATGTTAGTTACTTCACCTGTTTGATGGACCAAATCTGGACTGAATCCCTGCAACAATCAACAACAAAACGAAAATATCAGACAACAAATATGAAGACTGTGTTATAAATTACAATTAGTAAATGTACCTTGTTTTCCAGACATCATCTCAACTTGCAGCAGCAGCAGCAGCAGCAGCAGCAGCAGGCTGGATGTGTCGGCTTGCTGCCTGTTGGTGGTGTCACACTAATCTCCTGCTGTTGCTATGGAGCCAGGAGCCCTTAGCGACCAACTCCACACCTGAGGACTCCTTGAAACTGGAGTCTGCACACTCAACCCATCCATCTTGCCATCTCAAGATTTCCGTGGCAGGATGTTAAATAGAAAGTGATACTTCGAGGTCAGTGGTGAGGGTGGCTGCTGCAGTATTTCTGTGTTTGGATCAGATTCCATATATAATAGTGCTTTGAGGGCCTGACAACAGAGTAAATGTCAGGACCTATGTTAGGACGAGGCTTTCTCCTCACGTGATTAGTCCGTCTGCATTCGTGGATAAGCTTTTATTATTAGTTTAATAAACCATAAATATGAGTTTAATTGTCACAATTACAATGAAGTCACAACAATCACTTTAGTGGAAACCATTTATTTAAGTGCTGTATATAAGACTTTATCAAACTGGGTAGAATCTTTTCAAACAATACTGTATCTTGGACATGTTTCGGTATTGAAAAAAAGTGTAACTTTTTTTAAAATGTGCTTTACATTCATCAAAAATGGTACACATGAAGGCTTTGCACACATCAACAACATGGTTCACCTTCATCCCACAGTTACCAGACTGGACAGATTTGAACAAATATAACAGTATTAAGACAACATAAAGAGCCCACAGCTGTGCTCAGACATCTCTCTGAACAGCAAAAACAAAAGACATCCAGCAAATCATCTGGTTTATATTCCCTTTTTTAAGATAAATTAAATTCCCTTTTCAAGATAAAGGCTCATCAAAGTAGGTAACAATGAACTTTTAAAGCTGTAATCCAAAAATGACACTCCTGCAGTAACAAAGGTATTTGGTAGTGTTACAGTATATATATAGTTTGGTGCTGTGCCTGATCATTCTATAATAACATGACAACAGCTACGAACAGCCTTCAATATCCGCTCTAATATTTAGACATTAAATAGTTGTGGGGTCTCGCTGAAATTAGGCTTTTATTTATTATCAGTTTAAATATTAACGGCACATCAGAAAGCTTGTCAGCAAGCTCCACAATTTAAAGTCTTCTATACTTAAAGCTTTTATAGTCAAGTTTGCCTGTTGTTGCCCCAAATGGCAGAAAGAGGTCACTGTTTGAAAATCTTTTACAGTTTTTAATATGCAAAAATCACGTACCACTACTGACCTGAATACAGCACAATCTCTTTAGGTTTTGTGTTTTGGTTTGAAATTTTGGGTCACAAAGTGGACAAACGGTAAGTGAACATATCAACTCTCTATCAATGGCCTCACTTTGTACTCTACGTTGATATGATGGCTTTATTTTCTTGTGAAAATCTTGCCCAGTAGAACTTTTAATCTTTATGAGGTATTAAATATCGTGTGGATCACGACACACGAGGAACATTATGATACACTCCAAATTAGAAAAATAAATTGTGTGACGCTAACAGACTGTTAGCTCATCGCTGGTGATGAAGCTGCAGCTTCACAGCTGCTCTGAATGAATCTACAGCCTGAAATAAATCCACTGTGATTCAGTACCAGGGCTCCAGAGTGCAACATTTTTAAGAGTGCGACTAATCATTGTTGTAGGTGGCACTGGTGCACCTGACGCTGCCCGGGTGATAACATACATTTATTTCGCAAGCGCATCATCTCTCTGTGTTCTCCTGTGAGCGAACTCACACACTGATGGTAGGATCATATCGTGTTCTAAACCAATAAGAGACAGAGCTCGGTGTGGTCCTGTTCACTGCGCTAAGTTGTGTGTGTTTAAAAATTGCCGAGCCCCGGTCCTTCGGCGACAGCATCAGACTCGGAACCAGAGGAGGAGACAACCGAGTCTGGGATAGAGCCCGGCTCCGAGACCCAAATTAAAAAGGCCAAAATATATTCCTTCAGACAGGACTGGCTGAAACAATTTCCCTGGCTGAGGTACAACAAAGGACGTAACGCAATGCACTGCGTGTACTGTCAGGAGTGCGGTCAGAATATGGCCGGAAATAGTGCATTTGTGAGCGGGTCAACAACGTTTCGTATCGAACTTTTATTTGGAAATGTTTTATTTTGCTTAGTGTTTTAGTTTGAAATTTAGCTTCAATTTCAGCTCAGTGAAGCACTTTAAACACTTTATTTTTCTATTTATATATAATTATGCTTCAAATAAAGACAAGCATTTCTCTACACCTTATTCTTGTTTAAAAATCATTCACATTATATGAAAGTTATGGAGAGCGATAAAAAGGTGACCTTATGGTGTGAAAGGCGACGCAATGAAAAATGTGGGTGCACCTACATTTTGTGCTGGTGCACCTAAAAAAAAAAAGTTAGGCGCACCAGTGCAACCAATGCAAAAAGTTAGTCTGGAGCCCTGAGTACCGTCTGACAAGCTGCATGAACACCTGAAGGCAGCACCTGAACTGCTTCTACAGCTGACCGTGTATCATCATCTACAAACGTTGGGAGGAACAAGCCCCCACGAGCAGTCTTGTAAAGTAAAACATTTATGGCTCTATTAATGAAACCTCTCACCCGCTTGTGTGAAAAGAAAAGAAATCTTTGGTAACGATAACATTTTAACACAAGTTGGTATGAGTTTCCTATAGGCACCCATCTTCAATAAACATTAAGACCTGGTCAACGGTGAAACAAGGAGATATTTTTTCAAATTCAGTTGAGTTCTACAGTTTCACATCCAGAATCTAAAAGTTTTATAATCCCAGCTAAATGAACCAAAACAAGATAAATAATCTAATTTTCTCATACAAGAGTTTGAGCCAACCTGGTGTAGTGAAAACAGCTAAGTGAAAAGGTGCAGAGAACCTATTCAATTCCATCAAAAACACAGGATTAACTGGCAGAGACCAGTCTTTTATATATCAGAAACCATCTGGATGATCAGGTTCCGAGCATCCATAACGCCTGAGCTGAGCTCTGCCTCTCCCTTCTTCACGTGGGTGCCGATGAGGAACAACCTGCGGTCGCCGACCTCGGACAGTGACAGAGCTTCGTGGAGGTCAGTAATGCCGCAGGCTCCTGGAAGGTCCTGGAAACATAAGCCAAACATGAGGAGACATCGGGGTGGAGATGAATCTCAAAGAATTGAATCATCCCCTTACTTCATTCCAAAATTACACCACAGGCCGTGTGTGAGATGACAAACTGAAAATCCTCCTCCTGTGTAGACACACTGTTACTCCTTGTATTAAAGCTCCATTTGCATTTATAAGTTGCATTTTATAAAAATAACTTTTTGTCATATTTTCTGAATCTTTCACTTTAACCTGACAGTAGTACATGAGACAGAAAATCTGTGAATGAATCAGGTTCCTCTATATCTCATTGCCAGGGTCGCAAAGCATCTGTATTTGAAGCCCTGGGAATGACACCCAATAATCAACTCTCTTTCTTGGCTCTGATTGGTTGTTTTCGTTCAGGCCTCGGGATTCTTGTAAATGCCATTAGGAGTACTAGGAGGAGCCAGAGGAACCTGATTTTTTGTCTAATGTACGACTGTCGGGATGTAATGAGAGAGTCGAATGTGACACAAAAAATATTTTTATAGAAATTACCCACTGCTGCTTTAAACACGTCATTAGTTTTTTAGTGATAATAATAATATTAATTATAACACTAGAGCTTAAACTATTTATCCAACGACAGAACATTAATCAGCAACTATTGTTGATAATTAATCATTACAAGTCATTCTTTAATGCAAAAATGCAGAGAATCCACTGGCCACAGCTTCTGTTCCTGGTTTTTCTTAATTTTCTAAAATAACAAACGAAAAATAAAACTAGGTTATGGAGTTTTGATCTGACCCTGTATTCTGAAAAACGGTGAACTGGTGTTTTTCACTATTTTCTGGCACTTACACATTAATATAGAGAAAGTAATCTGCATATTAATCAATAATGAAATTGTTAGTTTCTGCCCCTGTGAACACAAACTGAAGCTGCTTTAAAAGTCTCTAATTATAAACTGTGCGAGGTTCCTCGAGGACAAGTGGCCGGCAGGCTTTTGTTGAAAAGAGTCTGGAGTGTTTTTCTGTCACGCTCACCTGTTTGTTGGCCAGTACCATTAAAGGCAGGCGGGGGTCAGAGGCCAGCAGCTCATGTAGAAGTCTCTTGGCGAGGGGGAAGAGCAGTGCATTGGAAGAGTCGACCACAAACACCAACATAAGAGCCTTGGACATGTACCTCTTCCAGTATGGCCGCAGCTCCTCTTTACCTCCAACTGACAGACAGACAGACAGACAGACAGTGAGTCCAGCTCTGTGATTGGGTTCAGATGTGAATAGGAGTTCAGACTTACTTTCTAGGAACTCGATGTGCAGGTCGCCTCTGTTGATGGAGACGGCGTTGAAGCCCTGCGTCGGCTGCATGTCCTGCTCCAGGCTGCCGCTGGCCAAACAGTGCAGCAGGCTGGTCTTACCGGCTCCATCCAGACCCAGAACCAGCACCTGCGTCCCCGCTGATTTCACGGGTTGAGACTGCAGCACACACACACACACAGACCAGTACACATCAGATAAGGGCTGGACACTAGCTGAAAGATATTCATATATGACGTTCTATACCATTCATTCGATTCCCAATGTTGAGGAATGGAGAGAAAAATAAGGCTAACTGCTCAAACCTGATTATTTTATTTTGTTATATAAATGTTAATTACTTTAAAACTTAAATGTAAATGTCTTTGGTTTAAACCAGACACTTTGGACATTTGATGGACCAACAATTAGTCAATTCATTAAGAAAAGTTCCAGCAGGTTAATCGATAATGACAATGGTGATTATTAGTTGTAGTTAACTTTATTATAATTAAATCTGCATATTATCATTTTATTTTTATAAAATGTAAAAAAAAAAAATGTCCATCAGAGTTGTCCTGGGCCCAAGAGATGTGCCAAAATAATCATAGTCATAGAAAACGAGCCAATATTCACATTAAGAGCCTGGAAATGATGACTCACACAATTCATCGATTAAAAGAACTGTTGCAGATACATTTCCTGTCCTTCTACTAAATAATTAATCGCCTCACTTATAATCTAGATATAAAAGCTACAATCTATCTCTTCAGTCAGTGAGGTCCTACATTTCCCAGAATTACCCCGCAGCAACCTCCCAGAGAACTTGACTAAACTTGTTGCTCTTTAATACAAATACAGGCATTCAGCTGGTCGTGTTAGCGGGTTACAAACTCCAGACAAAGAGAAAGTTAATGCAAACATAAAACATAAAACATCTTCTATGGCCGCTGTATTCTGGTCTATGGGTGTTAGCGGTAGATATGTGAGGCTCTTCTTCTACGTTTGTTTTAGGAGTACATACACCCACTCCCCCGGCGGTTTCCACGAAGGTGTCTCCGTTAAAGTAACGTTTTTACCTCCGGTGCTTTCTGAGGTTCAGCAGCAACAACGGGAGCAGCAGCAGCAGAGACCACAACAGTGTGTTCAGCTGCCTCTCTTCTTTCCTTTCCTTCTTCCTTTCCCTCTCTGCCGCTTCTACCGTCCTTTGCCGGGCGTGTTTCAGGCTTCTTCTCCCTGGAGGAAGATGCGTAGTTCCAGATAAGATAGGCGACTCCCCCCGCAAGAGCCACGGAGACTCCGAGGACACCGGCTTCTCTCAGACCAAACATGGCGCTCAATAGCCGGGTTGTGTTTTACTGACCGTCGCTGTTTTACCGGTCCGTTTCCGCCATTGTTCGTCTTGTAGTGAGTCTTTAAGCGTCCAACCTCTTCGTCCTCTTCTTCTCCTCAACAAGTGGATTAACAGACAGGAAGCTCAGGAGGAACTTCTCCGACCGATATTTCCGGGCTGCTATTTGTTGATGCAGTGTTACAATCTCACCGCTTGATGGCGCCACTATTCCCTACATATTTTAAACTCTTCTTTTTAATAAACAGGAATAAACATACATTAATTATCACAATTGTTACTAACTACACAATAACTGATATTAAATATCTTTAACTAGACTTTATACACCATTTCAAAATTAGCATAACCCAAAGGATAAGTTAATATGTTAATGTTAAATAGTGTAAATAGTAGTGGTGGAAGATGAACTCAGATTCAGTACCACACAGTAAAATGTAAATGTAAAAGTTAAAGTGTAAAGTTACAAATAAAAGTCCTTACTTAGGTAAAATTACAACATAACATAATATATATACTTACGTATATAAAAGGTAAAAGTACTCATACTGTCAAAAGTGGAGCTAATGTCAACTGCTTGATATACTGCCAGATGAATTAATCCATAATTATAAATCATAGTTTATTTATATTTTTTATTAATAATAAAAGAAATGTGGTGTAACATATTGACTACTGATTGAGTTATTAGTTATGACAAAAAGTTACCACTGACATTGGTCGTATTACTTTAGAGAAATGATAGTGGTAGTGTGTTAACTTTTCCACTGATTTAAACTCAAAAGCTTTTCCAACATTAAAGTATCTTTGGTAAAACTGTACAAAAGCATAACGTGTGGGAAAAAATATGAAAAGCAAGATAAAGGAGGTAGAGACTGCACAAAACTGTCCAGATTGTGAGCCCAAACTGTTCCTTATGCAAACAAGGCAATTTTAGAAAGACTTTAGGAGTTAAAACAATAAGTCGAGTTAATTGTGAAATACATTTATTAACTAATTACAGGATTTGCAGTTAAATTCACAGTACCTGGACAGAAACACAATGAAGGAAAATCCCCTTGAACCAAGCTGATAATCACATTAAAGGGTCATTTTCCAAATGAAGCCAACTTGCTTTAACGTGGAGAAACAAAAACAAACCAAACTTCTTTCTTTCTTCTCAGCTTCCTGCCTTCCCACCTTCCCTTCATGGTTTCCAAGGTGCTGCCTGGTTGGTCCTCTTCATCATCACCTTCTCCAGCTGCTCAGGAGCACTCAGGAGCCAGGCCTGGACGGTGCTCTCCTCCTGCATCACCCCAAGACTCTTCCAGGTCCGAGCCCGCAGTGAGGGAGGCCTTTTCCGCTGCGGGGCCTCCTCCGCTCCTGAGCTGCAGGACTCCACCGTCTCGGCCTGTCGGTGCCTCCTGGCCTTGGACACCTCTTGGAAGTGTCTGTAGCTCTTCTGCTTGATGGAGGACAGGAGCCTGGCCCTGCTGCTGCTGGCCTCGGCCTCTGTAGGCTTCTCCTCATCATCGCCAGAGTTCTTGTCTTTGGTATCCTGTGAGAAGGTCTTCTGCTGCCAAGTGATGAACTCTGACATGCGGTCCTTCAGGTGGGTGGATAAGTCTCGATGGGTCATGCTGACCTGGCCGCTGAGCTCCACCGTGCCCTCCTTCAGCTTCTCGTAGTGGCTCTGGATGTTGTTAAGCTCCGTCAGGAAGTCTGCAGTCATGAGCTCCTGGATGGCTGTGGCTCTCCCAAGGAAGTCTGCACACACAACCTCCTTCTTTGGCCTCTTCTGCTTTTGGAAGGTGAGAAAATGTGGCATGGCGGTGTAGTGTATGGCTCTGGCGGCATCAAGCTTTCGATAGATGTAAATCACATCCTGATGCCCCGAGTTTACAGAGTCCATGAGAAACTTCTTAACTTGAGCCCAGTCCCTCAGAGCGAGTCTGATGTTCAACGGTGGAACTGCAAGTTGTGTGTGGTAAAAAGCAAACATCAAATACAAGCCTCCTACACGAATCTGGTAGCTGTATGGGGGCAGGAAGTACTTCACGGCCGTAGCCAACGTTATCCTGCAGAATCTCTTCAGCTCACCCACACGGGCAATACCTAAAAAGACATCCGAGAGGCCCATCTCCCTCCAAATGGCTGAAAACTCCTCGTACCTGACTGAGTCAGTCTGCTGGAAACGAGCGAGCAGTTCCTCCACATCTTCTGTCAGGGGACCGTAGAAGAAGTCATGGTAATAACGCTGCATACGAGGCATCGTGTCTGCAGACAATCAACCTCAGGTAACAGCGAAACTCTCAAGCATGCTTGTCAGAAGTGGGGAGGAGCTCTGAAATCATTCAAGGCAGGTGAGGCACGTCAATGGTAAATTACCTGAGAACTACGCCCTCAAGTGGAGGGAGTCAATTATGGCGACTGGTCAAGCAAACTCATCAAAACAGCTGCACAATGGATCTCCTTGGAAAACATGATTAAAATACTGTCAACTTCCACAATCAGGGTTCAGTGGGTCACATACAGGTATTTTTAAGGCAATGTTTTTTTTGATCCCACTACATAGAAGAACAGATTAATTGATTTTATAAAAACATCAGACTATAGGATATGTTTTGTATGCTGGGGACACTAGACTGAAAATCAACCACTAATAAGTGTAAATAACTTGTAAATAAAGCCACGTCTACTGCGTCACAGGTTGTGTCCTAAGTTTGAGCATGAGCTTAATTTGAAGGGTTTGTAAAGGCTTAATATATCAGGTGTTCCACAACGGAAAAAAGTAATAATATCTGATTTTATATTGGGTTTCTAATTATTTTTTGTAACAACTCAGAAAAAATAAATTTGTACAATGTACAGGTTTTGGTAACATTTCTGACACCAGTTGGTCAGTGCTTTTATTCTGAAAGGCACATTCTTTAAAGATTTTCTTTTGTTTTGAATTGATGTGGAGATGTGCTTTTAATCTATATATGGACTATATCTATATCAGTGTAGTATGTGACCCCCAGGGGACTCCATGCTTCACGGAGGAATATTTCCCAATTCAGATAATATCAACATAACATGGCAAAATTTAAGGCGAAAACCTACCTTGGAAAAAGAAAGTGCACTAATCACCTTTTCTACCTTAATAAGTTAATTAAATTCAGTTAAATCCAAAACCAAATCTCAACTAATGTGAATGCAATCAATCTCTGCACGGATCCAAGTGCAATTCAAGAGTAGCTATTGAATTAATCTAAATGAAAATATTATAGGAAACACAGGGGTCACAGGTCACTGTGAAGAATTTTATTAAGACTTAACAAAAATGGGACACCTGTTTGGTCGCTTTCCTCATTTCCGAAACATGATAAACATGCATCTGACAAATTTAATTCAAGAATTAAAATGATTTTTGCTCGAATTTAGACCAACACAGGGACTGAAAAATAAATATCTCTTTAACATTGCATCTTTGTAGCTGATTGAAAGAAAAGGGACAATTTAAAAGGAACATGAAGCAAACAGCCAGAGTACGACGTATGACATCCTGATACTCAGACCCAAGAAATATTAAGGATGATTCTCCCAAAACTGAACTTCAAATCACTTTGCAAAAGCAGTTTATTTTACCCAAACTGCTGGAACTGATCTGTGGTTTTGCCAAAATGAAAATGTAAGGTCCCACAACATGGCCTTGATGACATGATTTTATGGATTTCATTTAAACCTCATTGAATAATCACATTTTAGTATAGATTACAGATGTGCACTTGGCATATAATGATAGAACAGCACAGCCAGGTAACAGTTCAGAACAAGGAGGTTTTCATTCTCCTGACCATTGGTGAAAAAAATATGTAGTGGCAACATCTGCAGTTTCCTTTAGTTCATTTTACTGTGATCTCAGAAGGTCAAAAGTGACAAAGTAAAAACAGAAACGCTTTAAAAAAACATCTGCTTTTGCAGAGCAACTTACAGCTGATTTCAGTAGAACTGTCCTTTAAATATTCTCTCTTCTGTACTTTAAAAAAACATTAAAACAAATTAATGACAAAGAAGAGCAAAGGGGAGCTTTTGGTTTTAAATGGCCAGAACAAAAAAGTGAAATTGACATAAAAAAGACAAAAGCTTATGGTTTCTTGGTGATGTCTCAGCCACTCAGTGTCTCCTGTGGCGCCCCTTCTGCCTCATGTGTTGCTTCCCTCCGACTACCAGCCTCCTTTTCCACCCTTCTTCTTCTTCTGTGGTGCCTTCTTGCGTGTGGCCCCCGAGGCTGCAGGTTTCTGCTGTCGAGGCGGGACCACATTGCTGGCGGGGGCTGTAGTTGAACCGGATGCAGACCCTGGTCTGGGGGAGGTAGGGGGGCTACTGGCTGTCTTACTGGCATCCCTAGAACAGAGGAAAGAGGCAAAGTCAAAAATCACTCTTAGGCAAAAATGTGTTCATTCTGGGATCATTCTGTATCTCAAGTTCACCGATAACCCTAATACAAGTTGAAATGTGACGGATGGCAAACAATGTGCCGTGTGCACTGCGAGGACTTTAAAAAGGAATAGTTTGAAATACTTTTAGTTTCTCGTTGAGAGTTGGATGAGACGGTTGATAACCCTCTCACATATGGTGCATACTGGTAGGTGTATTTTTGCACTAAGGCCAGGCTAGTCGCAGAAATCTTCTATGCAACTCAAACAGCATGTATTTGTGGGGGAAAAGCACTTGCACTTTCATTTTCCATTTTCAGTATTTCTTTGTGTTTTTTATCAAAGTCTAGTAAACTTTATAATGAAAGGTCATTTTGAAAGCTGATATTTTATATCATAACATCAAAATTAGCAGTCAGTTCACACTGCCTCCTTGTCACAGGTGTAGAACTGTTTCTGAGCATATGGATTTCTACTTTGGCTGAGACTCATTTTATTTTTGGCCTCAGTAACACACAAGCTTCTGCACAGCAGCTGGACACCTCCACTGAGGCTGCACTGGCAGGGACACAAAAGGACAATCTCAGGTGCTTTTCCTCCATTAGCGCAGTTGATCACTAGGTTTCAATTACAGGAAATTGCACACAGACTCCACTCGCAGGTGATGTGCGTATGGGATTGTGGAGTTTACTCACAGCTCGGCTGAAGCTCCTGCCGTCGCTCCCTGTGTGCCTTTTCCTATTTGCTCCTTCTTCTTCCCCTTCTTCTTGCCTCTGTAGTAGGAACGCTCCCTCATGGGCAGCCACCTCTCGATGTCGGGGGTCGCTTTGGGGTCGCAGTTCTTGGGCAGTTTGCCTAAAAAGAAGATGAGGAGGAATCACTGAAGGAGCTCAGCTCAGCATAATAAATGAGACTGATCTGTAGTCAGTAAGTATCTACATAATATATTATCTTAGAAGCATCAATAGGAAAGACTTGCTGCAGCACATTATATAACAATGCTAGGGGCTACCGTATCAGAGGAAATAGTGGTCACACTGATTAATGGCTTACCCTTCTTTTTCTTCCTCTTCTTTTTGATCTCGCCTTGGCTGTAAAGAAAAATCCAGACGCATTAGCATAGAGGAGATGAAAGTGTTGCCACCTACACTCATCCTTCCCACAAGCAACAATATTCTGGACACCATAGAGCCGATGTGGAAGACAGCGACGAGAGCTTACCCTTGTTCTTTGGGAAGATTTTCTCCTGTGACCTTAGCGGCTTTTTTCCTGACATAGGTCGCTCCGTGGGAGTTCTCCAGCTCATCCACGTCCACGTTGAAGGCCATCGTGTCTGCCGATGGTAGGTGTTTGCTGAGGCTGGAGAGGAACGCTAAGGACATGTTTCCCATTGGCATTTCAAATGTACCTTCTTTCAAAACATCATAAGGTCATCCAGGAGTCCTTGTCTTGCTCTTCTGATTATTGGCTTTTGCATTAGTATTATTGATGGATATACAATGTTTTACAAGAGTCTGTATGAAAATTTAAATTAATGATATATGTTCTAAGCTATTGACATCATACTAGGCAACCCTGGATTAGATTCTGGATCAACGTCTATGGTGTGGTCTTCTAGGGCTGTTTTCACAATAAAGCAACTAATCATTTTGTTTATAAAATGTCAAAAATAGTGGAATATTATCATTTTCCAAGGAGGATTCATTGTTTTACATGATCATTAATCCAAAACAACAAAGATTTTCATATATCATAGAGGCAGAAAACCCTCACATTTGAGAATTCAAAGTCAGACAATGTTTGACGTCTTGCTTGAAAAATGCCTGAAACGATGAATCGAGTACTAAAGCAGCTGCCAGTTACTAAAATGATAATATTAGATAGAGAGATAGACAGACAGACAGACAGACAGACAGACAGACAGACAGACAGACAGACAGATAGACAGACAGACTTTATTGATCCCAAGCTGGGCAATTTCAGTAGGTCAAAGGATACGATTTAGCTTTGTCCGTGTTCACCAGAGAATACGCCGAGATGAGTTGTGCCAGTGTGTGGATGTCCTTGGGGTTTTGCCTGTTTCAAGAAACATTAAGCTTAATTGTTGAAAAGAAAGAACTCCAACAATCTACAGTACACAATGCAGTACAAATGTCCACCACCTGATAAGCTAGGTTAAAGGTTGCACATACATTTCCAAATGTGCTGCATACATATGTAAATGAGTAACTGCTTTGCCTTCACAATGAGATCTCATTTTATAATTAGTGTTTTTCCTGCTCTATAAGCACCTTGTAATGTTGTTTACCAAGCTGTTTAAGAACTTGACATCATGCTGGCAAGATGACTGAACAGAAAAGCAGGAACAGCAGCTGCGAGATACCCTCTAAGGAGAACATTATGTGTTTCTCCCCCCCAAAACTCCACATATGTTTAATTTGAGAGCGTTTTGGAGGCTGGAACTCACTTCCACAGCTGCTCCAGATCACTAATGGCTTCTTTTTTCCGTCCGTACTTCAGTTTGAAATTGGCAGCTTCTCGTACAAGTGCCAAGTGTGCAACAGATCCGGGCTGCGGAGGAGGAAGATGAGGCTGATTACACCGTGGAAACAAACTCAGATATCACAAACTACAAAATGTGTTGGCTTGTCTTGTCAGATTTAAGTATTACCCACAGCCTTAACTACAGATGGTTATGTCAAGATTTGTCTTGTTTTTTATTTGACTCCATGGAAAAAAGTCAAAACTAAGACAAAGAACTCAATGCTGTAATGTTTCTGCATTGCACTTCCTGCAGCTCACCTGTCCATCAAACACAGTGGGAGTGTAATGTTCCCTGAATGTTCTCTTGGTACATTTGAACTCTCTATAGGTGGCTGTTTATGTTAGCAACCCAGTTCTCTTTCTGTTTATTTAAACCACAATTCAAACATAAAATGCATCACCAAAAAACAGCTACCAAAGCGGATAGAACAGCAATCAGTAAAAAGTGTCATTGATTGGACACAGGAAGAATTCCTATTGTGTTATATCTCAACTTCTTATCGAAACCAAACATCGGACACAAACCTGTTCAGACTGGTAGTGTTCAATAGCTTGTTTGAAAACGTCAATAGCGCTGTCAATGTCTTCTTCGTGGGAGTACATCGTTACCAGAGCGGAAATCTGAGGAGTCAATCACACATTTTAGATCAATGGTAGGTGACTGAAGCTAAATCAGAGAGTTTACACAGTTACTATTGTTTTCATTTCACACGTACCATCCCTGATTTGTGCTTGAACTCTTCAATTGACCGTAGGACATCACAAGCTTTTGTTACGTGACCTGAAGACAAAAAAAAACAAAATCAAAGTGAAGTAACGGATAAAAGAGTCTGTCTGAACACATCAAACCATAACCAATGTAAAAACAAGCCAGTACCTTGTACTAAATAGAGTTGTGCCATTGTCAGTTTGATGCCAGATGCACTCTCTGGATGTTGCTCTGAGAATTGCTGGAAAACAAAAGAATGGTCCATTACTGAGTGCATACAAAACAGTAACTCTTCACTCAACAACAATTAGGAGTCCTGCAGCTATTGATGCATGGAGCCATAAAGAAAGAAAAAAATTAAGGATCATTCCAACTTGACTACTCTTCTTTTTATTTTTTAAAGAGCTACAGACAGAGGGCACGGCAGTAAAATTAGCTTACATTCTTGAGTAAATGACTCACAGCCACAGCACTGATGTGTGTAATGAGCCTGTAACTGTAAAGCCATTTGCTGGGTCTTTTAAAGTGTCTTATCAATGCTATACATAAATATTCTTTTAGTATGGTAATGTGGGAATGAAACATTTGTTTTTAGGATGGGAATCGGGCTGAAAACAACCAGCAGTGTTGGTGCTTTCTACCTGAAGTAGCTCTATGGCCCGGCTGTGCTGCTTCTCTCTGCACAGCTGAGCAACCTGGATGAGGACCGGCCGTGGGTGACTCGGATTCTGAGACTGAAGACTGGATGACAGTTTCCTGCACTGGTCAGCCTGTTGATGGCAAACAGCAACGCAGCAACAAATCGTGATCAGTGATGAAATGGAAAATGACTGCACCCTCTTCAACATAGCAGCTTTTTAGCTACACCTGTACCTGGTTAGTGTACATGGCCAGGAGGGCTTTGTTGAGGTCAATGGCCTGCAGCTGCTTCCTCGCTAGCTTGTATTCAACACCTTCAGCGTTTGTCAGCTTCACCTTTTTCTTTGAGTCGAACACGTTTTGGTCCTGTGAAAACAGACCGAGCTTTAGTGCACACATATGACCAAGTTACTTTCTGATTTCATATCTGCGTGTGGATGTTAACGGATCTTCGGCAGTGTTTTTATATTCAGTAAGTTGGACGTCGTGGTGCTCAGGTTACCATGAGATCACAATGATTATTACTTTTATGATGAAATATCTAACCTGGCCATACACCCACCTTGTTTATTGTAATGATATTGTTGGCAGTCACAGCAAGCAGCCCCACATCTGATGGCCTGCAATGAAGAGCATACTGTTGACACATACTGTAATGTAATTGTTCATGGCCTCTGGAATGTCTGTTAAACTGTTTTAAGTACTATCACAACAACAATTCAACATGTGCTACATTCTCTTCATCTGCTTTTGGGATTAAATTAAATGTGATGAACCCTGCACTCACTTGAGCTTGATGACCTGGTTGTAGAGCTGCAGCGCCTCGTCTGTCCGACCTTGTAACTGCATTACGTAAGCCATCTGAGAATGGATGACAGCCAGCTCCGAGTCAATGTCCTCCTCAGTCACATCCTGAAAGGGACAAACCAGCAATCACAGTGATTATCCATTACAATACATTTCTAAATCCCAATCTTTGTCTAGACTATTTCTACGTTTTGGTAGCTGTTTATACAATGTAACCAATTATTATTCTGTGCATTGTCAGAGTTCATACTTTACTTCATTATTTCACGATCTTGCTAAATCAATTCACAAAAATAGTTCCACAAAGTATCACATCATTATCTCTAAAGTATCTGTACCACTGTCTTATCGATGCAAAGTAAAACGGTAAATTTCCTTGAAAATGGATCATGCTTGATTAAATGTTTTATAAAAACAAAGCAACACTCACAGAATCATCTGCCAACGAGACTCTGCACAGCTCTGTGAAAGAAAACAATCAGGTAATGTGAAATTGAGAATAGATCAAATGGTAACTCAACAGAAGGTGGAACCGAGCGGGACTGACCCTCTGCTTGTTGTAGTTTATTGTAGGCATCTGTAAGCTGTCCTTGGCCAATCAGAGCGCAGGCAGCATTGTAACACAGCTCATACGTAGACTCTGGAAGACCTAGATCCTCCTGCAGAAACAAATACATCATCATCTTAAAAACCTTTTCATACAATGAATGCAGAGTCATTTGCCTGGTGACACCAGGATATTATGAAAATATCCAGTCTGCACTCCTCTTCTCTGGTATTCACACTCATTTAAAACATATGAAGTAGCAGCTTATTATGTACATTATATTAATTGGTTTACTTTATTTTGTTTCGCTCAGCCATCAAGAGGAACTGCCAGACTAACTACAGTGCACAACAAAGGCCCAAATATGTTAATACTGTAGAGGAGTGTTTACCAATGGAGCATCCTCCCACTGACTCATAGAAGCCACCACAGCAGCCAGGTTGGTCTTCCTCTCCTCCTCATACTCATCCTGGGAGTTCCTGATCAGATCTGTGTAGACGGACTTGCAGTCATCATAGCGCTCCAGTCTGTACAACTGGACAATGAAAAGATAGTTCAAGATTGAGTAGACAGATACGGACATACAGAAAAAAAAACTGGTAAACTGGTACACCCTTAACATAAATTGATGATAATTCATTCATTCCCAGTCAACTGTGGACAACTATATAATAATAGTTGACAGCAGTAGTCATATGTTGGATTTCAATGGAGTGTTTCAGTGTCCCAACACTGTCCAAATGGTGTTTCACAGGTTCATGTATTTTATGGAACTTTGTCACATGTTGAGATTAGATCTGAAGGTAATTCATAAGAATATTCAGCAGCTTTGAGACAAAAGTACACAGCAGTTTAAGAGCTCATATCCCACATCTTGTGGATAAATTGTGTTCTTTTACACGATGCTCCACATCAATGAGGAGGTGGGAAGTACACAGTCTCTAGATCAAAAGCATGCAGCAATACTAGAATCTTCTGAATGGTCAAACAGCCTTACCACTTGACCGTAGAGCTCCTTCAGCTTGTCTGTTTGCTCAGGGGCAGCCTCAATGGTCTTCAGGGCACTTTCTACTCTGTTCAGCCGGTACTCGCAGTACGCCTTCTCAAACACAACATCACTGAGAAAGAGGAAAAAGAAAAATGATTTAACATGCAGAGACAGTGCCAGACTGCAAGATATGAATAAAGTTGTTTGTTATATGTGTAAAGCATGAAGTAAAACTAACTTTTGATAGCAGCACTGAACAAATGGCAAGGTTTAATATTACATAAACAATTAATGTTTTTTCAGTTTCATATCAGAATCAAACAGTAACTTTTCAGCTGATTTGAGGTTTGCAAATACACTATTTTGTTATTATGAACAAAATTCTAGCCATTTTTACTTTGTTTACGTTTGTATGTGTACTTGCACGCTATCTGCCTGTACCTAAATTACAACATGCTTCCTATTGTTTCACTCTTTAAAGCACTTTGGATTTATTTTATAAGACTTTGTTCTACAACTAAACAAATCATCAAAAAGATAATCAATCGATCAGTTAGTCTGTTAAATGGTCGAAAGAAAAACATATATTTAGTGTCGGCCCAACAGTCCAAAACCCAAAGATATTCCAATCACAGTGACTTAAAAACAGAAATCAATCAAAACAAAACAAACAATTATCCACATTTGTAACTCAACAAGTGTAAAAGTTAAAAACAAGGCAATAAGCACACAGTTAGTCGCTTACCTGCCGAGCAGCTTTGAGTGAGTGTTCATGACATTCAGCGCCTCTTTGAAGGTGCCATTCTGAATAAGGCAAACTATTTTACAATGAAGGGCCGTCACATCATCTCTGTTTTCGTGCAAAACTGCGACAGAAAAAGGAGAAAAAACACACCGCACCGACATCATAAGTAATGCAGATGAAAGAAAGGGACACTGCTGACTGAGGGGTTTAATAATGGAAGAATCACCAGTCATTAAACGGTGAGCTGACTGAGAGCTGGTTAGCGGACAACCATGATCAGTTAGCTGGAGGGCTAGGGACACGTCACTAATCAGCAACGGGCGGCGTATTTCTGGGGCAAATTATTATGTTATAACTTCACATAAAACCTACATAAATCACCTGGCGTTGTAGCAATATCACGCAGGTATACGGCTACGGGCAGATATTTGGTATACAGAGCTTACTCGGTGTTTGAGGGAGCGGACAAGTAGCTGTCTAACTGCCGTTAGCCTAGCCTCATGCTAACAGCTGGCCATGCCCTAGCTTAGCCACTGAACTCTGCTAACTGGAGCTAGAAGAAATAGTCCGTCTGTCCGCTGTCTGTCTGCTGTCTGTCTGCTGTCTGTCCGCAGCTCCGGTTCCATTTGAGAGTAACAAAGACAGCCATTAATTCCTACTTTTAGTCAGAGCTTTCAGGGCTCTTGTGTAGTCTCCATTCTGCCCGCAGCGGTTCACTTCAGTCCACAGCGAAGCCACAGAGACCCCTCCGCTCGCCATCTTCACTGAACGGGCTCTCACTCAGCGCCGGAAGCAGAAGCTGTACACATCCGGGGTAACAATAGTCGTATTTATTATTTTATAAATACAATTAAAATACAGCGCCACAATCAACCATAAACTACGACGTTGTTTGGGTGATAAATAAAAGTTGATATTTAGAAGATTTACGCTAGCTTTATGATTTCTCACTTAGACGAGAGGAAGGCGTATGATGCGTTCACAGCCGAGGAGCAGCCGTGCGCACTAATGTCTGAGTTCATACAGAAAGTTAAAGTCTTTGAGATCATTTTTTAAATGGTTGAGTGATCTTTACCTTTAGATGACAGGTGACAGTGATATCATATACTTTACTATTTTGCGGAGGGAAATGTTGTATATATTACTCAATTAAATTACAATCACAATGACAAAACACATCATTGGTTAATAAAATATGATAGTTTAAAATAAAATTAACTACAGTATATGAAGTCATTAAAGTTGGCTCTATCTACAAATGACAATGCCTATGACACATTTATACATACATATTGATCAACTAATAATGATTAATTACACTGTGAGAACCCTTACTTTATATTTGACACAGTTGCTGATAATACTTCTCCACAAGGGAGTTTTGTGTTTTTGCGTGACGAGGTCCTAACTGCGATATTTCCTGGAGCCCGTGAAGGCAGCAGTACAGGCAGCGTTGTGGGTTCGGTCGGACTCGACAGCAGAGGAGGGGGCACTGTTGTCATTCGTCAGGGCTGTGTGTGTGTCGAGCTTTTGTCCAGGAGAAATGGCTGGGATTAAAGGTAAGACATTTCCACTTTTCATTCAGTTTATAAATTCCTTTAATTCTGGCTCGGTTTGTATAATTCTGTCAGAATATCCTGAAGACAGAGGAATGCGTTTGCCATGTCCAGCTAGCTAACGGTAACGTGAAGAAGTAGTTAGCCGCAGGGCCAATACAGTCGTTAGCATTAGCTCAATAGCCTGCATTCATTGGGCTACAAGCGAGCGCTGTCCAGTCAACACAATTAAATGCATATTGACTTAAGTGAGTTGGCACTCTGCAGCCCTGTAACGCTGCATTGTGATGTCCTATTTAATGTCATTCTCTTTTGGTAACGTTACTAACCTAGTGGTTACCGTTATAATGCTAACGCTAGCTGCACCTGACTTCAGTGATTACACAGCCGCTGACTGAGATGCTGTGCTTCCTGGATTAACTGTTAATTGCTGCTAACAAGCAACCACACTGACTGCATTGCTATCAGGGTTTAACATGATCCCCGAATTGCATGGCTTGGATAGCTAATGTAGCTGTTACACGTGAAATCAGCTGATTCATCACATGATAGCTACAGTAGCCAGGGGCCCTGCTGCTGCCACAATGTGATTCCTCTGGGTCTCGGGATACACAAGCACGGATTCAGAAAGAAGCTGTGTGACATTGTCCATGCTGATCTCCTCCCCTCTGTCTCTTGTAGCTCTCATCAGTCTGTCCTTTGGAGGGGCCATTGGCCTCATGTTCCTCATGCTTGGATGTGCCCTCCCTGTGTACGAGTAAGTACCACCATCACACACACCATGTAAGGCTGTTCAAGTGTGTGTGTGTGTGTGTGTGTGTGTGTGTGTGTGTGTGTGTGTGTGAGGGCGCTGTTCACGCATGGCACTCAGATGCACATTGGGTGATCCCATCAGAGGTTTTCAGCTTTAAATACAGGTGTGAATGCATGGCTGGATTAACCTGCTTGGGGGCTCTGGAGCATAAGTGAGCTGCTGGGTCTCTAATACTGACCTGCCACTGTATATAAGACAAAGACCTTTTTCCACCTTAACGAACAATCAAGTCAAGTTCTATTTTGACACCTTGTTCATCTGTTTCTGTGACTTTTGTTTAGTATTTCTAATATGGAATATAACATTACCAGCTTTACTGTGCGGTACTTTCAGAGACACAGAAGCTGCAGCAGCATTTGTTATGAGCACTTCACTTAACATTTTCCAGCTGGGTAACAAAATATGGTGATTTAAGGGTTTTTATGTATGTAAATCAACTTACAACAACATGTACAGCTGTTATGCCTCACCCACGATGATCATTATTTTTCTGTTGCAATTTTTCATGGATTTGGTTAGGCAGGTAGTTAGCGATGTAAGAAGAAGATCCCCATTCTTAATCCAGCAAACAAAGCTCTGATTGGTTGATTCTTTCTCAACTTGGCTGAAACACCAGACCTATTTGAATCACTGAACTAATCTGAGATGTGGGTGGTTATTCAAAGGTTTTGAAGCAGGCTACCAAGTAAGTAAAATGTCAGCTGAAATAATGAAGGTTTTAACACAAGATTTTGACACCCTGCAGTACCTCAGGTTTTAGTAATAAAGCTGGACCCACCTTGAAGCCACGTACAGTGTCAGTGGATATTGTACTTTATTGGAGCATTTTAAGAACAAATTTACCACAGACCAGTTGTACAGTAAAGCTTGGGTTTTTGGAGGCCACTGGATGGTTACCTGCTTTGCACAGTTGGTAATTCAGCCTTGCATGAGCAAGGATGTACCAAGCTTCAGCTCAGAGGTGGACTTCAAATAGATGTCTGTGACTGTGTCAAAAGAGAGCCTGGTCAACTTGCAGTGTATTGTTAGCACACCAAACCTCTCCACTATAGTAGGATAGAGTTGATTTGCCTATTCAAAACAAGTCTGACAAGGTCTTTATACTGCCTGCATGAGATACCTCGAGCCACAGCCCCAAAATCAGGCTCTTGTGATCTAATCTCATTTCTGTTTCAGCCGTTATCATTATACTAAACGGCAGCCTCAGTCCAGCAGACCGTAGGGGAAGAAGTCTGAAAAATTTCTGAAAATCAATTAGTGACTGATATAATCAGCCAGCCTATCATAGATAAAGCAGTATCTGTGAGCCAGTGAGTGACAAGAAATTGCAGTGCGGAAATACCAAAGAAATTCATTAACATTCATAATACAGGCTTCATAATACAGGCCACCACTCTGTAATAATCAAATGTAATGGATCTTTATCAAAAATGTTTGTGTTAATGTTAAAAACAAATATTTGTGGATATATCATCAGATTTCTATTGATATTAATGGGCTGTAGATCCCCTGATTAAAACACACCTGTGAAGTTAGATAATGTGCTGAACACCGTTTGGTTCTTCATCCCTCAATTCACCTGACTGCATCCTTTATCATCACAGCGTGTGGGTATTTATCTCTCCTTCTCTCCCTCTCTCTGCAGCAAATACTGGCCTTTGTTCCTCCTTTTCTTCTACATCCTCTCCCCCATCCCTTACTGCATCTCGCGGAGGGTGGTCGACGACACAGACTCGGCCAGCAACGCCTGCAAAGAGCTGGCCATCTTCCTCACGACGGGCATCGTCATTTCAGCCTTCGGCCTGCCCATCGTCTTCGCAAGAGCTGAAGTAGTAAGTTGCAGAATCTTCTCAGTGCTGTTTCAAGTAATGTCAAAAAGAACGTGCATACAGATTTGTAGTAACTCCAAAACAGTAAATCTAGAATCAAAAGGAGACAACTTTGTGCTACATATCTATTCTACTTCATAATAAATGCAAAATTGAACATCTAACTTCCTGGAAAACTGATCATAGAAGTAGAGTAGAATTTACAACAACAACATTAATACCACCGCACGTTCTGAAACAATCCACCTTATCTTCAACAAACCTTTCGTAAGAGGAAGTATTTCACTTTCTGTGTTACTTGACACCCACATTCATCCGTCTCTCCTCATACTGTGTCTCAATCAAACATCCAGTTTTTACAAGAGCTTTACTTACAAAACCAAGACAACACACCCAAAAACACCAGATATGAATTAATCCACAGCTTAAAATATTCCCCAACAAATGCACAATTGACTACTGTTACAATAGTATTTGCCAAAATCAACAGCGACCAGCTGTTGTACAAGTGTTTAAAAATTCAACCATTTATTTGTGACCCATTTTTTAAGTATTTATGTCTTCAGAAGGAACCAATGGATTTGGGCCTGGAAGCCATAGATAGGGTAGGAAAGTCAGTAACTAAAAGACTATCAGTATTTCTGCTCGCAAAGCTTATCAGTGCCTCCCTAACAGGTTTGGGTTTTGCTCCAGCAGCAGACTGATTTGTACGGAGCGAGGAAATATGCAAATTAGATAAGCAAGAACATCCAGAGTACAAAGTCAAACAAAAACTAGCGAGGCAACTGGTAAAAATGAGTTTAAAAAAGATGTTTGTCTGCAGAGGATCTGACAGACGATCAGCATTTAGCTGCTGGCTGCTGTTAATGTCCCTTCCTGCTGTGTGTCCTGAACACACAACTGTAGGGCCGCGTGTAGAAATCATTCTGTGAACTGTTGCTGTTGACACCCACTTGATTTTGGCCTAAATAAGTGCTGCAGCCTGGCAGCACCCAGCAGCATTTGTTAACCTGAATTATTAATGCGTTGCTTTACAGATCGCCTGGGGGGCGTGTGCGCTCGTGCTAACGGGTAACGTAGTCATCTTCGCGACCATTATGGGCTTCTTCCTGGTCTTCGGATCCAACGACGACTTCAGTTGGCAGCAGTGGTAAAACAGCAGAGGGAGGGGGACCTTAGTCGGAACTGTTTTTATTAGCGTTACAATTATTATTATTATGGTATTACTGTTTGGTTCTTGTTGTTGTTATTTATATGATGACCGCCCATCCATAGACTCACACCAAACCAGTGCAATACTTTCTCTTTCTTTCTTTTTTTTTTTTTACCGCCTGCATCATATTGAACTGACACAAGTGGGATGGAAAAAACTGACTTTGAGTTGGATTTGTTCTCATTTTAGTTACGCTGTCTGACTTCTGTGTTTGTGAGTTTCCTCCATTTGTGTGTCAGCTTTCATTTTGAGCGTTCTGAACTGATAAGCGCCGGGGAACAACTGCTTGTTTTATATGTGAAAATATGTGAAAAGGAATCCAATTGAATGTTGAACAAGACTTAATCTGACCAAAAGCGCAGGGTGATACCTCAGGCTCCTTTCTCCATTTAGTAAACACTCTTGAGAAGCTCTGGAAGAAGCTCTCTCTATACTCAGAGCTCAGATGGGTGTGCATTTCCAGTCTAAGTGCTGAGTTGAGTGAAAATCAGCAGAAACCTGATGGAAAATCTGCACAGTACCAGCTCAGATTTCACCACTCATGATGAGCAAAAAGCTCTATTTCCATTTGCCACGGCTTTTATTGATTGAAACTGTGTCTATTTTTTATTGTCGATGAAATGTGAAAATTCAGCTTGATGCAATGCAGATTTTTCACCATCTTTCTGCTAATGTAATGCCACCAACACTAAGCTGTGACAGTGTGTGTTTGTGAAAGAAATGGGCTGTTACTGCCACCAACCCTTCTCATCTTTCAGACCCTGTTACATGTGTAAATGTGATTTAAATCAGTTATCTTTCCGGCAGCATGTTCTTTCTTTCTGTTTTTAGACCATGTTGGAAATAAATGTTATCCTTTTTTTTTCTGTCTGCAACCCATAAAAACATGTCATCACACAAAACAAGGAGACGATGTTCAGGAGCAGCAGAATGCGAGGGTTTGTTAAACACCCTTGCCATCACAGCTGAGATCAAATTAAACTGACTTGGTGAATTCCCAGGTGCCAACTGGATGCAGGCTGCATATTCCCTATGTTAATTTGCACATGATAGCTCTTACCTCACTCTAAGTATGGGTAAGCCTCGCCTTGTCAGGTCAAGAAAGCATGAAAAGCCTATATTAGCTGCCAGCTAGCGTAGGATTAGCTTGAGGACAGCAGTCCTGTTGGAAACTCAGCCAAGCTAAGAACTGGGCTACTTATAATCAAGGCCCGGTCAGTCACTAACAGCCCTTAAGCTTTTAAACGTGACTCCTTCAAAATAAAAGAATCCTGCATCGTCTGTGCTCAGTGTTAATGTTGTATTTCTCTGTAGAAGCACATTGGGTCGCACCAGCATTTTCATAATAAAAACACACTTATGATTTGTTTGGAAGTGCTTCTATGTTCTCCTTCCTGTGAGAAGGAAATTTGTACACCGGTTTGTGTAATCTGTTGGCAGCTTTGGGATCAGCACAGCCTGCAGTCAGTCAGGTGGAGCTCTCCTGTTTGCTGTTTAACTGCATTAGCTGTGGCTAAACAAGGAACTGAGCATCTGCTGCCTCGTCGAAGCACTGGTTTGTTGAAACGGAGGGTTGAGTGTCAAACATTTCCTCTTTAGATGTTGATTTTGTTTTATTGTTTGATGGCTCAGTTTGAATATGTGCTCTCTGGAAGATGAAAAATGTGAGTTTTAATGAGACTGAACTATCATAATTTGTTTTATTTGTGTGTCATAATCTCAAGACTGAAAGATTTTCAGTTTTTGTGTGTTGTAGGCCCAAAAGATTATTACATTACATTAACCATGGATTTCCATGCACAGCAGATTTCCAGTGAAAGTTTTTAACACTCACTGTATATTCTTTCCCATGGTATAACTTGCATTTAAGGTATAGTTCAGCATGTTGGGAAATATGTTCTTTTTTTAAGAGTTACATGAGGAGATCGATTATAACTCTCGTCTGTGTGTTAATGGAGCTAGAGCCTAGATGTGATTAGCCTAGCATTTAACGCACAGACTGGAAGCAAGGGGGAGACAGCTAGCCTGTAAAAAATATTCATTATTTAAGACGTTGTATCTTGTTTGTTTAACCCCTCCATAAACAAATGGTTGGTTTTAGAGGGATTTATGTTCTTTAACTATAAACTGTTGGATCAACTTGTTTGTAAAGAAATAGCACAGAACTCAAAAAAACACATTTGTCATTTTAATTTTTTTGTTTGTGTGTGTATTAAACAAACGAGATACAACGTGTTAATCAGTAACCGTTTAACCCCCAGCTTCCAGGGCTATGCTAAGCTAATCACCTCCCGGTCCTGGCATCACACTTGAAGCACAGACATGAATATCTGTCATCTCATCTATCACTTGGGAAGAAAGCAAATGAATATTTATCATAATGTCACACTGAGTGAACTGTAACAACTGATCATTCTGCTGCAGTACAGAACATTACCTGTTCTTACAGTATATCCTACATAAAAGAAAAACTCAAGCATTGGAAATCTGCCTCAGGAACCTGTGTCTAGAAAATAGTGTTTTTAAAAGTGAAATCTGGGTTTTAGCACTACACATTGGCATTAACACTTCACTCTCAGCTCTAATATTTGTGAACCTTCTTGTCTGTTACGTGACTCTTCCAGAGATCACAGCCTCAGTGCAAGCAGTGATTGTATTAAAAGAAACCATAACAATGGTAACTTTTTAGTTTCACTTCAAAATGTATTTAACCAAGTTACTGAATATAGAGAACTACTGACATGATTTGTACATATTATAATTCTGTAACACCACTTTGAATCTAATAGAAGATGCTCTAGCACAGTGGTGGTGGTCTGTAAGCCGGTCTGTGGTTGGACAAGCAGGGTAACTCCATGTTTTGTTCCTGAGACGTGACTATACGACACTGTATGCATTTTAAGCTCGATTTGTCAAATGTTCTTTGTTAACTCCCCCGATGTTACAGAATCTGGTGTGTAGACGGGTTTCTTTGTGTTTCTGTTCTAAGAGAGATGTTACACTTTGTTTCTCACAGATTTGGGAGGATTATGTATTTATTTATTTTATGGGACGCTTCGTGTCATGTCCAACGCCATTTTCTATCTCCAACTTTTGTGTTCAAGAGGCAGAAGTCAGCATGGTGGTTTTCTTTTTTTTAATAAACGCCATTTTTGAACATCCTCTCCATTGAATGACTACACATGCATATGCCTTGCTGGCAAGACTGGATCAGATAGGCAATATAGGCTCAGTCGTTTTACTTCACAGGAAATAAGCTGAACTGATATTATCTGCATGGCCTGGTTAGTTTGTGCTGTTGTTGAGCAGCACTCAGGGCTCGCAGGAGAATCAGCTCATTACTAGACAAAACAACAGTCAAAACATCTCATGTTAGATCGAAGGAGGGTCTTTAAAGCATATACAGTGATGGGTTTTAATCATCTTAAGTCTTTTGTGTTTATTAATGGGTCTATTACTGATAATACCCCCAACTGAAGGCCGCTGTATAAATAGTGATCACAATATAATAAACACACCTCTGTATGATATAAAATAAGCCCTCATCAGAGAAATTATGGCCTTATATCTGTATTGTATTGTATGTATTTTTGCACACTTTAGTTATTTATCTAATTTAAAATTCATTAAATTTACATTTCTGCCATCAGTCTGCACACAAGAACCCATTCAGACCAGTTTCTATGGCAGCGTAAACTGAGGTCATCCTGTTTGCTGTATTATCCTTCAGATATCTGTTCTAATAAGTCTGTTCTTTGGGTTACTGGGTGTAGATTGACGACGAGAAATGTAATTTTGCAGGTATTTTAAATGTAAATGTACTAAATAATGAAAATTGCAAAAACTAAAGAAGTCTGAATCTTTTACAAAGCCACTGTAAGTGTGATAGAAGCAACTTATCAGTTCAATATAATAACGGACTGATGTTTAAAACAATAAAGAAAAACATCATCTGATTTGTTTTAGAAAGCTAACCAGGCCACAACAGGCCCCTGGATGCATACTGTAGTTATTAATAGTCAATATTTATTTAGCACGTTTAAGTGTCTGTTTTATTTTACCCCAAAGAAATCCCCTCGAATTAGCTTTTTACCCCTGAAGGTTATTCTTGTAATGTTGGAAAAGAACTTAAAACAATGTTGATATCATTATGGGAGACCAACATCCTGACACATTACTGCTTTTATACAGCACACATTCAAAAACTAAAATGAATGAATTCATTAAACATATACACATATACAAAGTAAGAAACACAGGTTTTTTGGGGTGCCCGGTTAGCTCAGTCGGTAGAGCTGGCGACCAATATATGGAGTTGCTGCAGCGGCCCGGGTTCAAATCCAACCTGCGGCTCTTTGCTGCGTGTCATCCTCTCTCTCTCTCTCCACCCACCTTTCCTGTCTCTCTACAGCTGTCTCTATAAAAATAAGGCCAAAAAAAGAACTTAAAAAGTAGATTGAGAGGAGGAGCTGTGCTTTGTCTCCCTCTGCTGGCAGTAGTAAGTGCATCAGCAGCAGCAGTCCTGACACTGCCAACTCCTTTCTAAGAGGAGAGAAGATAAATTGAGGAAACAGCATCTCGTTTATAGACATATTTGGCACTAGCAACCCATAACTTACCCTATAGTGAGAATATTTTAAAAGTAGCTGGTATTCATTATCTCTTCACATTATTTGGTGTACTTTATAAGCTTAATGGTGCAAGTATAAGTATTTCTTATGTGTAATTTGTTTGTAATATTAAACTAGAAAACAAAAAGTAGCAGTAAAGGATGCTGTGCACCATCATTGGGCACTAAACCAGTGAAACTCAGTTAGAAATAAAGAAAACCCTGGGATGCATTATGATTGAAAGGAAAGTAGTAATTAATTGACAGTCAGTACTGAGTTATCAAATGAATCAATGACATGAAAACACTAAATTCAGCCACTATTAATGATTGAAAATGAGCAGAATTTTCCATCTGTCAATAGTGACAGTCAGACAATCATAGGCTACATCCATCAGACTGCATGAGAAATAAACAAAAATATCATATTCTACATACAAACTACTAACACACAACACTAACACATCTGATACACAACGTACAAGCTGTTATTAAATTCCAGAGGTATTTTCCTCTATAAAATCACTTATGCAATCCTATATTATAAAAGTACTAACCTGAGGCTGCTGCTTTAAAGACACCCGTCTGCTAGACACAACATGCCCGACTGGCTTCAGCTCCCTCTGTGCCTTGGGCCAGAAGTTTCATATAATATCAGATCAAACCTTCAATTTGTGCATGAAAGAAGTCATAGTCTTTCTATGTATTCAAGCAGCGAGCCAGATGGCAACAAACAAACCCCCACACACACACACACACACACACACACACCAGCAGCGTGCCTCGCCTCCATGTTATGAAAACAGCAGCTCAGATTAATGCTTAAACTTGCCCTCTTTAGGTGCGTCTTCTTTAAGACAGACAGGGCAATGTGCACTCCGTGTCCTATCTGACCATAGGACACACCCGCCCTGCCCTGAGGATCATGGGAAGTTGGAAGAAGAAGCTTTAGATTGGAGTGAGTTGTTCAGACAAAGATGAGCATGAGGAGATTTTTCCGAACTCACAGGGATGAAGACTACAGTCAGATCCAGTATCTGACGGCCAAGTGCACCCGCCTGGCTCATGACAAAGGTAAGTCATGGAGGTCAAGACTTTGACCTCTGAGATTAAAGTTACACATTTACATTTTAGAGCCGTTGCTGGAGTATACTGGTTCAGTCTGGTGTCTGTTACGTTGTATATGTCTCCTGTAATCCACAGTTCTTCTAATATCTTCCTAATATTGACTAGGGAAAAGACTTACACTGTTATAATGACTGACGATTATCCAAAGTGACAAGGTTACCAGATTTTACCATATAAAGTACCAGAGTAGTGTAATGTAATATAATGTTTAATCTAAAAGACATTGTTTTGTGGCGTCTAAAAGTGCATACTGCCTCTTGAATGTATTAGATTCATGTTTAAATCTGGTCTCATGCTATAAAATGAACAGCTAACAGAAAAACAACAAAGATTCATGCTACAAGTGTGAATTTCTTCTTCTCTTTCTCTGCATATTGTCCAAAAGTAGATAATATAACTGACTTGGTTCAAAGGGCATCACGTGAAAGTGAAACTATAGACTGTACAAGTATGTCTGGTAGTATTTATTGCTCTAATGTTGTCAGGGTTAATAGGGAAGAAATAATATTTAACAGAATTATCCTATGAAAACAGTTACAGTACACCACAGTGACATTAACCCATTATAACTTCACTGAATTAGTAATCAGTTTTGATTTGAGCTTCCTACCGGTGAAACATGACTAAAGGCATAAATACTCATGCTTTTTAAAACCTTTTGTTTCCAGTGGCTACTTGGTCTACGAATTGTGAGCAATCAAAACAGTTTTGTTCCGTCTGTCTGTTGCATGTGAATTATTATTTTTTAGAGGCATGGAGAGGTAAGACCTGATAGTATCTGACAAGGATTACACATAAGACATATATGAAACATAATTTAATGTAGCATGAATTAGTTTTTTCCTTATTTCCTACACAAGTAATCTCCCATTACTCACATAAGTATGACATAAAATCAGAAAGCATACTTGCATTTTCAGGAAAGGTGAGCCTCATGACCTGGGGCATTAGTACCTGTGATATACAGCACTGAAAATACGTTGTTGTAGCTGCAGCTGAACTAATTTGATGTCTGCAATTTTAAGTATTTTAAACCTACTTTGTAACAGAATATGGTAAAACAGCCACATGGTCTGTTCTTTTGGACAAGAGTTAATATAATACGTAAAAGACTCATGACAGAAGAAAAGCACATACAAAGAAACTCCTTTCAGTAGTGTGGTTGACTATAAGAGACATTAAGAAATCAGACCTTTATCAACATCTGCTGATGGCCAGGAGAAGATCCAGGAGAAATGTGTGTAGAAAATACATCAGGGATAGTTAACGTTCCATGAGTGCAGTGATGAGGTGACAAGGATGGGAATGCCTCCAAAAGGGAGGAAAGTCTTTGCCAGAAATGTCAGCAGCTGACATACAACCCTACATTTAAAGTGTTACGGTTTAAAACATTATTTTATGCTGCGGACAGTAAAAAATTTGGTTTTTCATTAAAACAAGTCCAAGTGGCACACATTCAGCAGATCTTCTCTGTTTTAATGAAAATCCTCCACAGCCATGGTTTAGTGGTCCAACCTGACTCTGGCTTTGTGTTCTTTGTGGCTGAAGTAATGCTCGACAAGGAGTTCCTGGTGTCCAGAGACAGGGAGAGGAAGCTGCTGAATAATCTGGAAGTTGCGACCGCTCAGCTCCACCACCAGGAGCAGCTGAACATGGAGCTCAGGATGAAACAGGACCAACTCATCGGCAGGATCCACCAGCAACAGGTGAACTGAGTGTGAATCAAATGTCTGTCGAGGGAAGAAATAATCTCGTTGTTGGAGTTAAACCACAGTGGCTGGAGGTCATTTATCATTAGATCTTAAAGCTGCTATAATCAATATTTTTAACAGGGGATCAAATGATTGTGTGTGTATGAAATGAGTTGCTAGAAGTCCGACAGATAAGTATCACCACGCTCTGCAGTTTTCCCTCAGCTTGTAAGGAGGAATTTAACATATTTAAGCTAATCATTTTAGTGTCTTTCAGCTCATTGTTTTGGTTTAGGGCAACTGAACTGTTTTGGTTGACTCTTAGTTGATGTTTCAGTGCAAAAGGTCTAAAAACCCAGCTGTACACTACCTGCTCAGCACCAAACAGACACAGTTAGAGACTAGCTGGGGAACATAGTGGCACATTTAGCAGCTAAAAAGCCAGATCTTTTTCTAAGGTGTTGATGGAGGCAAAAAACAGAGCTAAATGAGAGTGAATATTGGACTTACCTTCATCGGGTGGACATTAACACAATGCTGAATGAATGATAATGTTACTCCATGTCTGCTGAATGTATAAGTAGGCAACTGTTTGCTATATTAACCTAAAAGGTGATAATATATCAGTGTTGAGTTTACAGCCTTTTTTACGGTGGTAGCTCAAAGAATCAATTGAGGTTTAAATGAATGTTAATCATGAATGATAAAGAAGGAACTAAAATAGTCCAACTATAAATAAATCTATATTTTGTCAATTAATTAACATTGGCACAAGGAAGGAGGGTAAGCTGCTGCTGGCTTATCTAAATGTGTGATTTGGACTCAAATGTCGGGAAGACTAAAACCTTTTTAATACTTTAAGCTGTATTAATGATTGTTTTTCATCTTTTTCCCTTCATGGGGGCGTTCAGAGGAACATTAGCATTCATTGCATCAAAAAAAGATCTGGCTCTTTAGCAGCTAATGCTAGCAGCTAACTTTTTCACCAGTTAGTCTCTAACTCTGTCTCAGTGCCTGAACTGTACCAAAAAAGGTGCCAGTATCCTTTTTAGCACAACCTTAACCACAGTATAACCGTGATACTTTTGGTGCTTTTTCAGTTTTAACAGGGATATTTTCAGCACTATTTTCTCATGGAGATATAGTTATACAGGCTTTATCTTCTTTCCACGTATAGACACCTAACTAGTGCCTAATTAGATCAAAACCTGTACCAGTACCGTAATTCAGCACAACCCTAACCCTAACTGTTTCTGTGTTTTATTCTTTATAACAAGGCCATTTTCAGTGCTGTTTTCTTTTGCGTTAACCTAGCTGCGTGTTTACATGGAGACACAGTTACGCAATTAGGAATACCTCACCAGCATTGCTGTGTGGTTTTAGAAATACTGAGGTTCAAACAATGAACTTGTTAGGTTAGTGGTATCAAAGCAAAAAGTTATTTTTAGACAGTTATTTCACATCTTTTATTGAAAACCCCTTGGAAAAAATACTGAGGTCCATACCTTGGTGACCTCAGAGGTGGCCGTACTCAATAAGAAGTAAGGGTACTCATGGACAAAAATCTGAAGTGATTTTGGTGAGTACTGGCCCTTTTCAGGCACTGCTCTGCCATTTGGTGCTGGGCAGTTATTGTGTAGAGGGTTTATTAGAGTTCTTCTGAAAAAGCTGCATGCTTCTGCTGGGAAAGAGATTGCTGATAGCGAACCAGACAGTAAATGTGCTGTAAAACCCAAGCTATTAGTTTAAAAAGGCTTAAAAGCAGCAGAGTTAGCTGATAATTGTCTGCCTGTTTGTTACTATGAGTGACTCCTTTCACTAAATCATGATTTCCAAAACAACATTTAGCTCCATTTTAACCTCAAACGTTGGTCGGGCAATTAGAGTCTTGTTAAGAAATATTTACCTGAAGGCCAACTTCTATCCAATTCAGAGTGGTTTTTTTTTCATTTGTGTCATTTCACCTTGTAGTATTTAACCTCATTACAATCCCATAATTTAAGTCCACATAGCCATGACCATACTAGTGGGCCACCTATGCTGCAATTACTGAAATTACACTGGAATTAAGCAACCAGTAAGTGCCAGTGTTAACATACTGTAAATACAGAGGTTTGGCAGTAGTTACCAACCTTTTTTTGAGATTTGGGTTTCCTGGCACAGGTTGTGAGCTGTGAGCAGTTTCACCATAGAGAGATTTTATTCTCTTCTGTTTGATTTTATTACTTTTAGGGGCCTGGATGCAGTAATCCATAGGACAAAAGACTAGAGAAAATGTATTATGTACTATGATATATTTTATAAAAATAACTTTTTGAAAAATATGAGTTTTATTATTCATTTATTTTAGTTTTGTGTGTGGCAGAAATAGATTGTTTTTCTTTATCTTTTATGTCCCACTATTTACCTTTCAAGATTTGTTTTATGATCCAAACACCAGTTGGGAATGCCTTGCGTGAGTTCCTGATAGTCTTTTATTTCAATCGCTGATTACATCTTAAGACCATTCTCTAACTTACATTTGTTCCGGTATTTAGAAATCAGATGTTTCACTAAAACAACCTGTGCACTTTTAGCAATGCCCTACTTAACATTTATCCTGTTTTTACCTGGGAGTTCAGTGGTATTTGTTAGAGATTTAGAGAGTGTGACTCACTCACTTTCCACACATAGATTTAATAAAGCATCAGGTTTGGGCTTGTCACAAACTCTTTGACCCACTGTATAGAGGTGTGTTTGATATCACTTGTACAGTCTGTACAATATAATGATGGTGTAATCAGGACATCTTAAAAGGTCAGGAAGTACTTAGGAATGTAGGATTCATTTGTATAGTTAATTGGTGTAATTTATGTATATTTTGTCCATGTCTGTGTGCATGTGCCTTCATGTAAGCACCTGTATCAGATGATATGAATCTTTTACTCTCTAAAGTAACAGAATTAAGCTGAAGCATGAAATAGTAGTGAAACTACAACAGTAAAATAAAATTTGGTTCTGTAAAACATTCTGCAAAAGGTATGTGAACTGGTATGTATGCATGTATATACTTATCTCTGCACATGTGTGTAGCTGTGGACGTGTGTGTGTGAATGTGTCAGTATCTCCATGTGTCTCCCCTGCAGGACCTGGTGGACTTGCTGCAGCAGCGTGTGGTCCTGCTGGCAGAGGAGAGCTCCCGGGACGAGCAGCTGCTGCAGCAGGTCGGCTCAGAGCTGCTGTGTCTGCAGAGCTCCGAGGTGAAGCTGGAGAGCCTGGTGGAGGAGCTGCATGCTGAGGCCCATCACAGAGCTGTGGTGGCAGAGAGCCTCCAGGCAGAGCTACGCGCTGAGGCCCAGCACAGAGCTGTGCTGACGGAGAGCCTGGAGATAGAGCTCCACAGGTAGAGAGAGATGTTAGCTTACCTGCTCTATCATCTTGATGTTGTTATCAAGCCTGCTGTCCATCTTCTCGACCTGCAAAGCAAAACCACACAGACACATGTCACCATGGAGATAGAGGGGACGGGGAAGAACCAGCATCCCCTAACGCCAAAAAGCAACAAGGCTGATGGGATATCTGATCTTAAATATTAATAATTTAAAGTAACATGTAACATGTAAGCCTCACAAGGCTCAATATTAATCGTGTAATTTGTTGAATATTAGTCGACTGACAGAAAATGAATAAACAATTTAAAGATCCATTTAATTAATGTAATAACAGAAATACATTATATTTATAGAGCATATTGGAAACACAGCTTGAAGCTCTAATATTACACAGAACAGACACAGATCAGAAAAGGGATGTGAACATGGTTCTGTTTATACTGTATTGTGTGTCTGATTAGGTGTACTTGGACATATGCATCTTTGTGTTTTAGACTGTCGGTTTGACAGTAGAGGCAATCTAAAGATGTCACCATGGGCTCTCTGTGGTTGTGGGGAGCACTTTTTATGTTTTCTGACTTTATAGAGTAAAACAAGAATTGAAAAAACAATGAACTGATTGATTAAAAAAGCTTAAAAAAAAGTTAGATGCAGCCAAACTAAATATTCATTATCTAGATTAACTTTTTATATTGACTTATTACATAGAGACATATAAGACTGAAGCACATTAGATCTCTGAAGAGTTGTTATTGATATTGGTGGTAATTATGAAGTTCATTTTGCTGTATGTCCACTTATCAGTGTACATCTTTGGTGATGATACTAAAATGAGGGTGCACAATAAAAGTGCATTATAAACCTTTACTGTGCTTCAGACGAGGACCCGTCACAGCTCTGAGCTGTGGAGGAAATACCAGAAAAAATGGTTGCGGTTCCTTGTTTTTCTTACCCATGTTGAATTGTGGATGGTTCGATTAAAACACATTCCTCCATGTTCCACCCAGCTGTTAAAACTGAACAAAATGTAAAAACGAACCAGATAAGGCAGCAGACTAAGAAAAGAAACATTCAAATTAATTGAAAAAAAAAAAAAACATCTAACGTTTGATTACCATCTCCAGCAAACTGAAGCCAAGTGAAGCTGTCACCAGCTGCTCTGCAAACCCACAGAGAAGAGCTACATCTCAAACTGTTGTCTCAAGACTGAATGAAAACATCGAGTTCGGACCTGCGATTTTAAGTCAGCAGAAATGCAGTGGTCCTCCGAGCAGTGCCGTGCCTCAATCTGCTGACTTTAAATCCTTGTGGAGAGTTGGCTTAGTGTCAGAATACGTTATCACATTATGATTCTAGGCCCCCAAGTCAGAAGATGAAACAATTTGTCTTAAAATTGATACAATAATGTAAATGGATCTCATTGGCTTGTCTGTGACAGAGTATCACAGAGGGCTGAAAATAGAAATCCAGTTGAATGGATAAATCTGTGTAAGAAACACCTGTAAAAACACTGAAATAAGGAACATTATTTTAGTTCAGAACAATCCAAGCACCAAATAGTTGCATTGTGACTTTAAAGTTCTGTTAAAGGTCCAGTGTGTAACATTTAGGAGGATCTATTGTCAGAAATAGTATATAATATTCATAGCTATATTTTCATTATTCACCTGAATATAATAATCGTGTTTTTGTTACCTTAGATTGAGATGTTTTTATCTACAGAGAGAGCGGATCCTCAAACACTGGCTGTAGATACGACCTTTTGTGTTTTTCACATTTTAATGACCACAGTGGCTTTTTCTTAATGTTTGGAAAAGGAGAGTGAAACAAGGGAGTTGCAATCTGCAGCTACAATGCTACATGCCACTAAATCCAACACACTGGCCCTTTAAATGAAAAGTTTGCATGCTACTTATTTCTCCTTTTAGTACTTTTTTAACCAATGGGTTATTAGGAAAGCATGAAAAGTAAAGTAATAGAAGTAACAATTATTCTCATTTCCATGAGTTAAAGAAATAACTTACTGCAGCATGTAAGGCAAACATTGATTCATTTGAACAAGAAAGCAGTAGAATTATTGTAGAGAAAAGGGTATAATTCTAATGATTATACAGTGGTGTTAATGTGGGAACCCAGTCGGTTTTAGTCCATAATTATCCAGGTTTGTTTTTGTGTATTATTGTAACTTGAGATCAGGTGGATGATGTTTCAGTGTGTGCCAGAATGCTAAAATCATTATATATACGTATGTCAATTAAAGGTTAATTTAATTAAGTCTAGAAACGTACAAGCGTTACGCTGACACCGACATGCATATTGCCTCTACTCTAGTAAGTAACAGTAAGGAGTATGCACAGATAAGAGAGTCATTTTGTATTTGTCACCAACAGTAAGACGATGGAGCTGGAGGAGCAACAAGACACCAACAAAATGCTGATGCAGGAGCTGAAGGATTTACGCTCTGCTCATCAGAAGGAGGTAAAGGAACAAAGTTTAGGAGAGAAACATACAGAGATCAATGCGGCTCTGCCACATTTTGGGTTTGTGAGTAACAAGTCAGTTGTTACAGCACTGCCTGTGGGAGATAGTGAAGCTACACTATTCAAAAGCAATATCAAAGGGTTTTGCGAATGTGCTGACAGAGGGAAAGCAAAGAAAGTGTCAGAATAAATCAAAACCTCCATAGAAACTTCTCCACTGTTGCATGATGATTCCTGTTTTCTGTGTTTTCACTTTTGTTTGCTTGTTAGTTGCAACTGCTGATTTTCATTATCATTGAAACTGCTGATTATTTTCTTGATTAATTGATTGGATTGCTTGGTCAATAAAATGTAATGAAATAGTGAAAAATACCAAAATTGACGTATTTAAACTAAAATTATTGCTTGTTTTGGCTTGAAAACATATTTAATTTAGGTATTACGGAAGCAAACCAGCAAATATTTACATTTGAGAAGCTGTAAGCAGAAATAGTTTAGTTTTTGCAAAGGATTACTTAAAACTACTAATCAAGTGTGAAAAGTGTCGCTCATTAGTTTTTGTTAGTTGGCTTATTAATTGACTAATTGTTTCAGCTATATTCAAATTCTAAACACACATTTCCCTTAAAGTATTCCCTTAAAACCTAAATAAATGATGTGACAACTTATTGCAATCTTTAAGTCTTTTAGTACGCAAGTTCATATCAGGTCACATAAAGACAAACAATGTAGCAAAATAATCATTTTTATTTTTCAGTGACAGTATGAGCATTAAAATATATGTAAAGTACCAAAAGCAAATGTACTTACTATTCAGAATGACCCATTTCAGAAGTGATGAATTAATGTGCAAGCGTCAATAATGTTGCAGCTGATAAGGCTGGAGCTAATGTCAGCTACTTTATATACTGTCAGGTAGCTTCATGTATAATAAAACATCATAAATGATTAAATTATTTTGTTAATAATCTGAGGAGATATAAAACAATGATGCTCCTGTTGCTCAGTGGTGTCATGTCACTTTTGTCCAGCAGATGTCAGGATTGGACCCTTTGTTCAACTCTGCTTAGCTCTTTTCTGCTTGAGTGCTAATAGATAAATAATGGACCTTTAATGGTTTTATAATGAATGTGGAGTATTTCTCTTTGTCAAGCTTGCAGCCAAGTCCTCCAGAAACAATGCAGCACAACATCTTCCTTCTGCCAGCTCCTCCAATCAGAAGTAATGGATTAACACTGTTCATGCTTTTCTCAGGCTAGTTCAGGTCAATGTGTCAGCAAGACAGTTAAAAAGTGTGAATAACAAGTCTGCTGCTCGATTTAGCACAATTAATTACATGAAACATAAAACCTAGAGGTTCAAATTTATGCACTGCGGCCAAATTTTAAAAAACTCCAACCACCCCAGAGAACACACTAACTCAGGTTTTGCTGGCATTAGGTTTGTATTAATGTGTGTTGAGTCTGGGCATCAGTGAAACATTCCTACACACTGTCAGGATTTTTTTATTTACACTTGGCCTCAAAGACTCACTCCCTTACTGGCCCCTGTTTCAACCAGTCCATCAAACAGCAAACAATCCAGGTACTACAATGATCTCTCTCCTACGAGACAGCTGCACACGTCCAAGAGAACAAAACAACAGACCGCCCTGTCAGTGAGAAACTTCATGAGAACATTTATTTGTGGTGGATCAGCTCAGTGAATAATAGTGAAAGTCTGACCCTATTGCATTCGCTCATCTTTCCAGATGACGCAGGCGAGTTCAAGAGTCGCCGCCGCCAGTCACACACCACATTTGTCCTCGTAACTTCCTGCTCTGTTGTTGTCTTGAGCCCATCCTGGCTGAGGGGGAAGTACAGTGATGTTGTCTTGTCTTTGAGGTGAGGGAGCTGCAGCAGGAGAACGAGGGGAGTCTGAGGAAACTGCAGGAGACAGCAGAGCAGTTTGAGTGGCTCTGTCAGCAGCAGCGCTACTGGATGTGCTGTGTCAAGAGGTGGGTGCTTTGTCCCTGAAGTGACTCTTACAAACACACACAGAATCTGATGTGAATTACTTTTAAAGGACATTCAAGGCCCTGAAAACCACATGTCCTAATTATAGCAACACATCAAACTATTAGCTGGTGGTTGCACTGGATTTGTCCATCGTCTGTGCTCTCCTTACTGGCTTCAACTGGGCAGGCCCATGCTGAAAGGAGTTAATGTCAGGTATTTTCACACGCCAATGAGAATGGAAAGGAATATTTCATCATTCACGTCTACTTCACAAGAAGTCAGTGGCAAACAAAACCTAGCATGTGACATAACGTCACATAATGTTAAGTTTTGAGTATTAGAGGTGTTGGTAGGCAGTTTTTTTTAACCTTTGTAGCCAGGGTAGCTGTTTCCCCTTTATGCTAAGCTCAGGTAAGCTAAGCAGCATCTGTATCAAAGTATTCCTTTAACCATTTTTAATTTATAAATAAGGATTGATTGTTGATTATTTAATAAGAAATATTTAATGTTGTACAGAAATACTTATTTTGTCCATTGTATGCATGTGTTTGACCTGCTATGACCTCAGCATCAGAAAGTAAAGCTCTTCTGCAGAATGTTGCTTCTTGCCAGTAAAGGGTGTTCATTTGATTTATGGGAGGCAACCCATCCTACACATCTATATCTTTTTAGTTCAATTAGACACAAACTTAAACATCTGAATTTACTTAAATGACGAAGAGATACAGAATCACTCACTACAGGGGTATAAAATCCAGGGTGCAGGGATTTTATAAACCTATATCATCTTCTAAACCTTTCATCTATATCCACAGATTCAAAGACTGCCTGATGGAGGAGAGAGAAGCTCTGCTGCGACAGGTCATCATGCTGGAGAAGAAGGCTGAGAAACTGAAGAAGAGTTTACACGATGACAGTCCCCCAAAGAGCGTCCTCTGTCCCCTCCAGGACACTCAGTGCTGTGACAGGTAAGAGAGAGTGAACAGTGAGCTATAAAGTACATCAGACACCCAGACAGTAGATAGAGAGATACAGCATACAGTATACGTATCTCTATGATAAATCTACACATCTTTTGCCAGAAATCAGCTCTAGCATGTTTTAAAAACACACTCCCACTGGGAATGAAATAAAGAAAACAAAATTCCTCATTTTTATACATTTTCCACTTTGGCCCACCCCTGCATGCTTTCTAGTACAGCATGAATTTACGACACGTCTAAGCTGCCTTTCTTTTGAAGCAGTATAACATCGTGGGATGCAGATGCAGAGGCTGACCTCGAGTCTCAAGTGAAGAAGTCAAACACACTGTACGAGGAGCTCTTTAACCAGGTACCAGTTTAATGTGTCTGCCCAATAGGGTTTTTAATGGTCTTAATGGTGTCCACAAACTCTTTGAAAAAGAAAAAGAAATCTTGTTGCAACCTCATCGTTCTGCTTAACCCCTCTATATGTATATATATAGTGCACCAGCTCAGTGTTTTGAAATCTTTGGGTGGGAGACATGTGCAAACCTTAGGGGTGAAATATTATTAGGGAGGGCTAATATTCATCTGAATATTGTTGCCAGGCCTTAGAGGAGTTGCTGTTGTTCCAGAAATTATAGCTAAGTGTGTCTATCTCTCTTCTGTAGACTGTTAAAAATAAAGAGTCTTTGAGGTACCTGTAGGGGTCACCGAAATATCTCTTGGAGCAATAACTGTTTGTCTGACTTCCACAAAGCTCTCTTATGTGCAACTTATGATTTTTTTCATTATCGAATAATCTGCCTGTTATTTTCTCCATTATTTGATTTTGTTTCGTTCATAAAATGCCTGCTTCCCACAGACCAAGAATAAGTATTCAGATGGCTTGTTTATTGAAATAACAGTCCAAAACCCAAATATATTCAGTCCACTATCATACGTGACAAAGAAAAGCATCAAATCCTCACATTTGGGAAGTTGGAAAAATAAATTGTTTGACATTTTTGCTGGAAAAATAACAAAAGTGAAAGCTGCAGTAGGTAACTTTTTATAAAACACAGATAATCTGTCAATTGTTTAGGATCCTCTGGCTCGTCCTAGTGCTCCTAATGTCATTTGCAAGAATTTGCCGGATACGAACAAAAACAACCAATCAGAGCCAAGAAAGAAAGTTAATTGTTGAGTTTAATTTCCAGGTTGTCAAATACCGACCCTAGAAATGAGCTATCTTCAAGCCACCAACCAAAACTGTCTTTCTATCTTTCTCGGCTCTGATTGGTTGTTTTCATTCAGGCCCTGTGGGTTCTTGTGAATGCCATTAGGAGCACTAGGAGGAGCCAAAGGAACCTGATTTTTTCACAGATTATCTGTCTCGTGTACTACTGTCAGGATGTAGTGAAAGTTTCAGCAAATATAACAAAAATATTTTAAGAAAAATTACCTACTGCAGCTTTAATCAACTATGAAAATAGCTGCAGTTTCTTTCGATCAACTATTCGAATAATATCCGCTGCTCTAATGTGACGGTTCTTAAAAGAAACTTTGTTGGCTCGTTTTGAATTTTACAAGAACCCTCGGCTGAACCTTTATTTTAAGAGCGACCCCTTCTATATTAAACATTTCTGGATCAAAGACAAGGACTGATCTGAAGACTGAAATAGAAGACATCCAAAAACACAGGGCTAATATTCATCTGGGCGAGACTGCCAGTCGCTACAGGGGTTGTCACACAGCCAGAGCTCTGAAACTTCATGGGTACTGGAGTCTCATCTTTGTTTTTGTCTTTTAAAGGTTGCTTGACAGCCTTTATGCAATCATTGGGTAACCGCAGAATGTTCCTTAAAGATGACCCAAATGAAAATCACTGACAGTATGTCTCCTTTGTAAGAACTTTTGTGGAAGTATATGAATGCCATGTTTCTACTGAACATTACAGCGGCTATAATCGATATTTTGATACAAACAATATTTCAAATAATGATGTGAAAACAATGTGAAAGGGGGCACTCGTAGTGATGAACCCACAGAGATTCTAATTCTGCAGCTCCACTTGGCTTTCTTGAGCTTTGAGTTTCAGCTCGCCGTTACCGTTTTGGCTGTAGCAGTCAGCTGTTTTCAGCAAAAAAGCTCTTAAAGCACAATGTACATTACCTCCTCAGCACCAAACAGCAGACAGACACAGTTAGCAACTAGCTGGTGAACATTTATTTCCCTCAGGAGTTGGTGGAGGCCGAAAACAGCTAAAAGAGAGTGAAAATCAGATTTACATTCATCAAGTGGACAGAAACAGTGGACAACAAATTGGTTATTGCAGGATTAAAAGGGGCTGTGATAAACTCTTTAATCAGCCTCCCGCAGGCTTATTTTACTGTACCTATTGGCTACAGTTCATTCAGATGATCAGTCAGTGTTTTAAAATCTCTGAATCAGAGGAGAAGAGTTCAGGTCCCAGGGGTGAAATATTAGAAATCCAAAACACAGGGCTAATATTCATCTGGGCACAGCTGCCAGTCCGCAGTGGGCTTGTTGTAGTGCCAGGATTTTTAAAAAAGAAGCTGAACCTTCAAGGGCATTGAAGTCCCATCATCACCATGTTTTTATTTTGTCTGTCTGCTGTATATTTTAACAAGGACATACAATACAGTGTTCAGCAGTGTTGCAGAGACAAGTGGAAGAACAGCCACTAGAGGGCACTTATGCTATCTATGAATAGCTTTTTAAATGAGTACTTTAAAACAAAGGAATTTATATCAGTATTCAAAATAAACACTCATAATGAGCTAGAATAGAAGAAAGAATATGCTACAAAATTAGCCCTATAACTTCATAGAGTGAGGGGGCATAATCAGCAGCTTGTTTGCCTTTCACACCATTTTTCTTTCTAGTTTTAATTACTGAAATATTCAAGGACCTTTTCTTGTTGCAATAGGTCTTTACTTACTTATTTCACTGTAAAATGGGAAGATCAGTGTGTTTTTTCCACTGGAAATGCACATTTTTAGGTACACTGAGGCATAAAAACGTGTGTAAAAGTTTCAACTGATTCACCCCTTTTTAAAAATCTACAAATTTAAATACAAAATGACAAGTCTTAACAGTAATTCCAGTATATTACAACTTGGGTCTTATTAATGTAGTTTTTGGCAATTCTTTCCATCAGTAATAATAATATTGTACACACAAAGTTCATTGCGTGGCTGAGGAATGCAGCAACATCTCGTAAAAGACGCTGCGAGACAAGATTTTCCGTGCAATGAGGGATTATTAACAACACTTTGATGTGCTCGCTTTGCTTCTGCCCCATTGAACTTTATGGTAGTGATGTCACCTTGTTCCCAGATCTCAACAATTACTTTGCTCAGTAAAATGTTATCATAACTGAAATTATGGCCAGAGCTACAACAATAAGACGCAAGTTGAGTGAGCGGATAACTGAATACGCCAGAGAATTATTATCCGAAAACGTGAGATGCTTCTAATATAAAAAGTAAACCCACTTTGTTATTTGATGTCTTTATATAATAATAAGGGTTTATTCATTAATCTTTTAGGGCTGAGGTGCATTAGTATTGTAGCTGCCTTTGGATTTTAGAAAAGATCCTCTACCTTCAGAGGAACCAGTTCAGTCTGGATCGGTGACAAGTGCAAATCTCAGGGGTGAAATAGAAATTCAAAACACAGATATTCATCTGAGGACGGCTGCCAGTCCCCTGTGGACTTGCAGGGCTGCCAGGACATTCATAAAACTGATACTTCGTGGGCATTGGAGTCTAATCAGTGTTTTATTTTTTCTGTCTGTCTGCTTTAAAAAGTTAGAGGGCTTTGAGGAACATTTGATTGCAAAGCTATTTTGCAATCAAACAGGAACCCTGCGATGTCCCACAAAGAACTCCTCCAGGAAGCGTTCACGAATCCTGACAGGACCGCAAACGCTTCATCCTTCTGGAGGATTGTTTATACTGAAGATCCCAAAAGGTGCTCGCTGCAGGATTTTTAAAAGCTCCCATGTCTTCAGAGTGACAACTTCAGTGTTTTTAAATCTGTGGATAAGAGGAAGCCTGACAGACAGAACATAAGGCTCATACTCGCGCTCTGCCAAAACCTTGAGAGATTGCTGATACTTTCTGGGCACCGGAGTCACATCAGGCCTTTTCTCTGTCTGTCTGTCTGTGTGCCGGCTGCACATGGCTTCCTCCCAAGCCATCCTCTTCCAAAGCAGCAGAGAGATGACTAATAATGACTGGAGGGAGGTGATTGCCAATAGCCTCTGTGCTTCATTCCCCTCACCTCTCACGGGCTCAGCAGTGCATTTCTTGGGATAATTATTCTGATTGAGTGCAGATGATGCACTGTGCTTTTTTTTCCTCCAGCCCCTGCAGAGCCGAGAGAGGGAGGAAATGTAGCTGGAGGAGCGGGGATCGCCGGAGACATGGAGGAAATAAGCGTGATAAAACACATTATCAGCTTTGACATGATTTATATAAAGTGTAGATTCACACTCTGTAGACATGAGTATCCTTCTTATTGTTAAAGAGAGAAGACACTGATGGCCAAAAATGGAAACACGATGGTGGGATCCCAGTGAGGTTTTGGTGATTTGCAAGTCAAAAGATATGTGTCTGGGGTTAAACTGGGATGTAAGTTAACTGCTTCACATTCATTTCGATTAATAGGCAACGGTACTGAATTTAAATGTTTTGGGTTTTTATAATCCATCCATCCAGTACCTATACCATTTATCCTTTAGAGGGTCATGGGAGGGCTGGAGCCAATCCCAGCTGACATAACTGATTGATTGATTGATTGATTAAGCACACTCTCTCACTGTCTCTCAATGTGTCACTCTCAGGACTGACACGTTGAGACAGACAACCATTTGTGCTCACAATCACACCTAAGGGTGATTTAATGTTGCCAGTCAACCTAACCTACATGTTAGTGGACTGTGGGAGGAAGTCAAGAACCCAGAACCTTTTTGCTTTTAGGCAGCAGTTCTTACCACTGCACCTCCCTGTTTTTTTATCATTCTGTGCAGAAAGTGGTCAAATGTGAGATCACAAAAATACCTTTAAAGAAGCAACTTTCTGCAGGAAAAAAGGTAAAAGACGGACTGACTTTCCCATAAGCTCCACATTGTTAATGCCATGAGACTGAATCTTGCCGTTGCATACAGAGTGATGAGATTACTATACAGAGATAACTCACTCAATAATTACAACCTCTGATAGTTTCCTTTAGCCAATCAGCAATCTTCAACCAATCAGATCAACAAACCATATGACGTAGTCAAACTCTTACCAAGGTCAGTCAGGATAAGAGCGAAAACATCTTTTCTATTGAGAAAAGCCTTCAGTTCTGTTTTTGCTCTTCTTTCAGTAAAAAATAAACTCTCCAGTTCTGATAGAACTGATGCTAGAATAATCTACGCTAACTTCTTTAGCAGCCGCTATTGTTGTTTTTCGAGCTGCCAGTAGTTCCTCACTGGATGCCGGCTGGTCCGAACCACTGTGGTTTGGACACAAGTGCATCGCTTGAAGGCAAAATGGATTCTCACATGATCTTGCAAGGCCTGGCCTGTACACGCCTGCAGAAACAAAATCTGGAGCAAAGACACACACCAATTCAGTTACTGTTTCATGATGTAGTTAGAACCTGTACTACCTAACTGCCTTTTGTGCTGTTGGAACAGTTATATATCTTAGACATCTCGAAACGTGCACTTTGTAGCCAAATTAATCCCAGTTTTAACCTTGATATAGAAATGTCTTTTGACCTGCCATTACTGCACTTACTTGGACGTTTTTCTCTCTGATTTCCCCTCTTGCACTAACTGAATGTTTATTGCCTTTAGTCATCTTCACTTACAGTTTATTTTTCTGTCCTCAGGCAGGGAGCCCTATCAACGGATACCAAAAACCTCCTTGAGGACAGAAGCCTGGAGCCAGGACTCGTCTACTTTTTCTCTTCCCACCTTCTGCAAATCAGAGGATAACTACTAGATGTTTGTGTATGTGTGGTTGGCTTTGTGGAATACTTCCCAGTCATTGTCAAGAAAGAAAGAAAACTTGGAAAAACATACCTGTGAAAGCATACATTCATTGTTTTTCTTCCACTATTGTTCACCTGTCTTGAAAATAATCTGCTGTCACAATATATGACTGAATTAAACACTGTAAGTCTGCTCCTGTCCTCCTTTTGCTGTGACACATGCGCATCACATGTGTTCCTAAAGTCAAATTTTCCTGTAATTGTCCGTTATTCAGACCTTGTAATCCACACCACTAACAAGAGCAAAAGCACCTGAGAATGCTCTCTTTTGTTGTTTTGCCAATGAATCCTCACAGGGGAAGCAGCAGCTGGCGTGCAGAGGAAACAACAAAAGTGTTGTTTAGACCAAAATGAAGCCCTACTGATTGTTCCCCCATTGAGGATCTGGTACATTTCGACCCTCATGATCAGATCTCTTCACTTATCACTTGGCTTTCACTTGTCAGCAAGAATCTAAAAAGCATGTGAGGCTCCATCGCTGTGAACCATATGATGCACACATGGTGCAAAGGCAACAACAGTTTACAGACAAAGCAATTGTTTGGGGTAAGCATGTTGCACGACATATGAGCTGCTTAATCAATACACCGTGGCTGCGCATGTTTGGGTGTTGTTGCATCCAACAGTGAGTTAAATTTAGTGGTTCTTGAGGAAGTGGCAATTAAATGTTGGACTCAGCACTAAATGCATTAAACAAAACCGCCATGTTGCATCATAGATCTTCGTCAGACATCTAACTATAAAGCAAGAATCGAGAACCGTTAATCCGTTCAACCTTTTTCTGAGGACTGAAGGGGGAACAGTGTCGAGTCTAAAGTTGATCAGATGAGTGGTTCTCGACAACGCTGCAAGCAATCAGGCCGCTCCGAACAGGCACTGCACTAATTGCAGTCTTGATATGTTGCAATCCTCCAATGACTTCCTTTTAATGTGTCTCATTCATATTCATATGACTGCATTTTATAGACTACAAGATATGTTGATTGATCTTTCAAAGTTTAAAAGTTATATTCATATACAACTAATTTGCATAAGTTTTATGAATGTTTCTTGCACACAAGTCTTATTGATTAAATAGGATAAAAAAGCAAATACCACACACTGTTAATCACTTGTACTCACTTGCCAGTGTCATTCCACATCATTAATAAAGCAAGTACAAGTGACTAAAAGTATGTGGGATTGCCTTCCAACTCTTGAAAAACATGAAAAGCTGTGTGGTTTGTCTGTTCTAGAGTACTGTAGAAACATAGAGGTGAAACATGGCAGATTCTTATTTTCAATTATACACTAATGAAATCATACCTATGAATATTTGATTCCTTTTCTGCAAATAGAGCCTGGTACATGTTACACACTGGACCTTTAATTTGTTTTCCTTCAGTATAGCTTTACTTGAGACTCGGTCCAAAACCAACTCTGGTATTAACTGTTGGCAACTAAAGCAAGAGCAGTATTTTTATGGTCATCTTCAGGCACTTTAGTACACTCAGGAAAAGATTGTGGTTTTGATTAAATATTGAAAACATGGACTTGAAGCACAAAACAGGATGCATTGACATTTTAAAATATTTAACAAAACCACCCTTTTCCTAACCTCAATCAATAACCTTTAATAGCCAAATTCACATGGGATGCAGAATACAGTCCTGTACTTTGTGCTTTTGCCTCTACCTTTAAAAGAGGTAATATTAAAGGTAGGCGTTGGATTATACACAACTTTACCTTGACAGTCAGTACAATGAGAAATATGAAATACATTAAGATGGTTTATGGTTTAGTAAAGCTGAAAAAAGGGTTTTTGCTTACTATTTGCTTCATAAGCAAATACTTTCCACTCACCCTCGTAAACAGTTTTAAGCCTGGGGTTTAGTTCAGCATCTTAGTCATCTACCAGAACACTGAATTGCATTAACTCTCCCTGTGTGATAATGAGAGTGAACACCTAAGTTAATCCTACATATTAAGGTGGGAGAATGAAGCTGACTTTGCATGAAATACAAACACACTTAATGTTTTGTTCAGTTACACTCTGCCAATCGTCAGTATCGCACACCTATTAAACAAAAAGGTGTAGGGGAATATTAGGATTTAGACATGGTTTGATGGGTCATAAAAGTGCAAATATCTTCTAACAACAATACAAGCTCTTTTGAAAGATATTAACATAAAGAGAATAAGGGAGGAAAGGAAAATAAAATGCTTCTCTGTACGGACACACAACCAATCTACTGAGATTTTAGGCACAAATTCACTTACCACTAGATGTTGCACTAGAGCACCAGAATCTCAGACCAAAACAGTGGGCACCACTGCTGACCAGACTCTAAAACAAAACCAGTCATTTCACCTAGCAGATAATCAATAAAATAAAAAAAACACCTAGAACTAGACAGAGACAAAATAAAATCCAAAACCATATTTATTCGCCGAATTACGTGAGCAAATAGCCTCGAAATAGCTGGCTACACTGGCTGCCAAGTAATGCTAGCTAATCCTTGGGGACAAATTTGCCCATCAATCTACATCCACTTGTTTTTGCCACTGATTCAGATTGTTATTAAAGAAAGGGTGCCTCCAGAGACAGACCTTTGTTTAACCAGAAACAGCCGTAATATCGCTAACAATTGTCCGATTTAAGTCACAACTGGGTTTCCATGAACATCAATTTATGTTTCATTTGGCCTTTTGGAACTGTACACAGGTCATTTTACTAGCAGGAGCAGGAGCACCTTTAGGCAGGAAAAGATGTGGTGTGCACATGAGAGGAGCAAGAAAGAAATCCCTCTGGAGTTGGAGTTCCCCAGGGTACATCATAGTATTTCGCAGATTTTAATTTTATTTTCTTGGGATGGTACAGAATAAGATGTTAACTTACAATGAACACTACACACTGGGACTCGGACCAACTAATAGTGTAAAAATGTGCCTGTGCATGAAATTTCCCAACTCAAAAGAGAAGAGAATTTAGAGTTAAGTTTAGGGAATGCATTGCATTGGCCTGCCGAGCTAACAGTCAGTAATGCATAGCTTCAGATCTTGGGCTGAGTTTGAGTCTCAAATTTGGCGTTTTCCAGACGAGATCAGTATCTACAGGCTGGATTCAGGTCTGAGTGCCACTCCAGGTGGTCCATGTCCCCTTGCCCCTGAAACAGCATGAACACCACTAGAAAGCAATGTGTGCCTGTATTTGAGTGTTGTGTAAGAATTCAAGCATGGTATCGAGGTTGATGGGGGCAGAGGTCAACAGAGTTGAGGTGACGCTGCTCTCGGCCGGACATGACAGGCTGCAGCACCCGGCGTTACGTCTTGTCACAAAGGTGTGGTCCCAGATTTTGCGGCGGCGCCCCGGACCACAAGGGACACCAGTGGCAGCGGCGGCAGCAGCCTGCCCTCTGACTGCCAAGCGCTAAAAGAGTCTGACCTAAATGGGCTGTGAATGGCAGAGGTGTAGCCAGGGATTAACAACGTGTGGCAGCTGGAAACAGGTCGCGTTTGCACACAATAAATGCTGTCGCACCCTTCCATGCAGAACGAGACTCAGACATTATAGGTGTTATTAATAGAACAATTATAGGTACAGCAAGAATAGCATGTTTATGTCCAGCCGTCGTCACAGCCAGGGAAAACACATTGCAGATATTTAACACCAGGATATACCCATTAAAAAAGTGAGACTTGTTAAAATAGAGACCAGGAGACTTGTATTTCCACGTGTGACTTTTGTCTGTGCACTTGCTTGTACAAACACAGATTATGTGGTACAAGTATGTACTGTACGTAGTTTATGTGGATTATAAATAACACCACATGGGTTTGGAAAGGGTTCAGTTATTGTGAATAGAAAGCGTTAAAGCATTAAACATTTATGAGAGCTGGGGTCCATTTAGAGAAATATCCCTCTGTCTCTGCTCACAAAACAAACTCCCACATAGTTGTTTGCGGTTCGGAGCTTAACCTAAAAGACAAAATGTTAGTGGAACACGGAGTCACGTCTTATTTGCTCCTCCAAGATGGGACTTCAATCCAGCTGAGTCAAAAGATGTTTACGCCCGTGTCCTCCGTGTGTACCGCTGTTTGGTTCCATCAGATTGATTACTATGGATGTTTTGGGACTTTTCCCTCCCTCTCAGAGGAAGAAGCAAACTGCTCGGCCGCATGCTAATGTAAAACAGAGCCGCACGATGCGGTTTTCCCTCTGACACTGTTTGGATGGGTATGTAAATGTTTAACAGTGGCGTGAGTAAACACACACAAGGGTTAGGTGTCGGGATTTCAAGAGGTCCTTGTTTGGCGGCAGAGGATCTTCGCTGTTAATGCCCCTGTTGTGTACGGCGAACATAACGGCACAAAGCTGTATGTAAACACGAGGCTATTCTTACTTTAAAGAAACACTGACATCACATGTAGAGGAATCCTCGCCATAAACAAAATGAATAGCTACGTCGAGTGAAAACACAAACCTGGCACTGTGCTGAAGAGGGTTCAGCACATACAGTATTAGACGACTGAGATGTGCGTGCTTTGTTTTCAACAGATGTTGCACTTTTTTAAGGGTGCCACAAACTATACACTTAGATCACAAGGCAATCACGAGAATACAAAGATAGTGTTTCATTAAAGCAAGTAAAAATGCAAAAAGTTACATAATGAATAAGAATAAGATGCTGAGCAACTGGAAGCAGTGGTAGAGGTACTTGCTTTCTTTGTCCTTCTGCAGTGTTGTTTGGACTACGAATGGAGAAAAGTTATTTACATGAAAGATTGTGATGGTAGAGAGCTTGTTCATTGTCTTTGTGGTGGGCGAGTGCGTCTTTTAAAAGAAGATGTGATGCAATGTGACAGGAAAGCAGGAAAGCTGCATGTGATGTCTCTTTGTTAAAACTTCAACAGTGACTGCGTGTTGCCATCACAGCATGCCTGTTGTTGTTTTCATCTACTTGCTTCCTCCTTTGTCTTTTTGTTGGCTATCTGATTGTTCATGTGTTTACGAACGGAGGTGGAAGAGGAAGTGATCGGAGGATTGTCTGTGTGTCTTGTTGTCTGGGCCTACCTAAGCACAAATCATTATCACAAATTATCATTTTATTTATTTTTGGGCACATGGGACAACAGTTTTTTCCTAAAACTGTA